CAAGAAGAAAAATTCGACCAACAACGAAAATATTTATTTTTACCACGAGAAGGAGAATATTCTGGCCTATTACTGGGAGACTCAGTTGTTAACAGAATCAATGGGAACAAATATCGGAAAATGTGTTGGCGAGAAGATTTGGTGGGCACAAAATTTCTGCATTGCTGGAACGCATGAGAAACAGTAAATCGCGACCTTTTTAACATGTAACTACGCTAATTGGAATAAATGACTGCCTCTCAAACGATTTCGACGCGAAGGAAGCCGTGAGTAGCTTAGAAAAACTAATTTATCTCGTAAATCATAAATTTTCCCCAGAAACAATTTCACTATGTACTGTAACTCCCTTAGGCGCTTTTAGAAAAGATTTTAATCCAAATGTACAGAAGCTAAACAAGTAAATTCTTAATTTAGTACGGAATGTAAAGGACTTGGTCGAAGTAAAATTGGATTTTTAGACATAAACAAAAATTTTAGTCAAAATACTGATGCGCTTAGCTCGGATGGTTTGCATCCTTCTGATGGGGGTGTTGAAATTTTGGTGCAAAGTTTTAGAGATTCTTTTAGAGGTTCTGAAATTAATGCAAACACATGTGAGATTACAACCCGCCCCAGAATGAAGCGAACCAACAATCATCAAATTTAGATCCAAAAACGGCAGAAATGATACAATTTTTCCAAAACGGTGCAAAATGCTTTAGGAAATACTAGTTTCGCATTTTTTCTTGGTGCAAACTTTAGCGATTATTTAATTTATTTAATTTATTATGCTGAATATTGAATTCTGGTTGTTTTGTGCAATTTTTCTAATTTCCAAGGGTCAGATGGAAAATATAGAAAAAACCATTGTTTACTGGGGCTAACTATGCTGCCATCAAAAGATATCATCATCGAAATGTGGGATAAATGAGCGGAGAGCTACCACACTGACTCATCCTTCCCTTTTTGCGTTGTTACTGACCCAAAGTCGGGATGTTGAAAAAAAAACCTGGTCCTATTGAAACCATTGAAACAGTCTACGGCATCTGCTCAAAAAATTGTGCAAATCTTAAATTTGTTCATTTGAATTTTCAAAGTATTATTAGAAAACGGATGCAATTGAAAAAACTTCTTGATGATATGGGCGAAAATACAATTATAGGAATTTCCAAAACGTGGCTTAAAAAAGAAGATAGTGACAATTTATGGAATCTCCGCCCTAGAACGCATGCGATGTTCAGATATGACAGGCAATCAGCGGTAAAAAAGAAAGGCGGTGGCGTTTTGTTATATATACCAGTCAAATTGGCTCCGAAATTGAGGCCTGATTTAAATTTATTTGATAAAGAAAAATATGAGTCAGTGTGGATTGAGTGCAAATCTACATTTAACATTTCCAGTAAAGAAAAGATGTTAGTTAATTTGTGTTATAATCCAAGCAGATCAAACTTTATTGATTTTTTGGAACCATTAACGCTTAACATAGATAATGCATTTTCAGTTTCTAATAAAATTACGCTTCTGGGTGATTATAACATAAATTATCTGGACAACAAAGCAAAAGAAAATTTAGATTCTATAATTATTCCGTATGGATTGAAGGTTTTTCGTCCAAACGATGAGACATGAATTAGTTCCTCAATTAAAACTCATATCGACTACATTATCAGTGACTATGAAACAAACGGCATTGAATTTTGTTTTGATACACCTTATAAAACCGACCATTTTCCTTCATTTATTTTGATGGATATAAAATGCGGCAAAAGTTTACCGAAGATAATTTCGACTTTCAATAAGAAAAATTATCAGAAAAATGAATTTTGCAATACACTCTCCGCTCTTCCTTGGTATCTCTTATATCAATGTACAGACGCACAAAACATGTTCTCGACGATGATTTATTTAATTTCTAGTGCTATTCAGCAACATGCTCCTATCGAAAAAAAATTTGTTCGTAATTTTAAACCAAAAAGGGTGTTGAAAACGGAATGGTTCGATTCAGAATGTCAGCAATTGTTGATTAAGAAACAGAATTCACTTGGTTGATTAAGAAACAGAATTCAAAAAATTGTTTTTCTTTTCTCAACACTATCCAACAAAAATGGAAATATATTAACCAAGTTAGAGGTACATGTTCTGGCAACAATCGAATTACAGTTCTACGAATTTCCTTCAGTGAAATGATAACCCAAGACAAAAAAATTGCCATTCATTTAAATTATATTTTTTCAAATTTAGGCGAATTTTTCGGCGCTAAAAAGCCTCCGAACTACAACAAATCTGCCTCTGAATCTTCACCTTTCCATTTTCAACACATTACAGTGAAGCAATTCTTTGACATAGTTCGAAAAATCAATGTTAGAAAACTTCTCGTACCGCACCTGCTTGGGCAATCATTGACGGTCAATCAGTTATAGTTCCACATTTAACTTTTGTCATAAATACTTGCTTAGATGAGAACATTTTCCCAATTTAACTGAAAAAAGCACACGTATCCCCTTTGTTTAAAAAAGATGACCCAATGGATGCAAAAAAATATCGGCCAATATCAATAACTTGTGCTTTTTCTAAAATTTTTAAAAAAATTGTACATGCCCAAATAACAGAACATCTTGACAAATTTCAAATAATGACACCATTTTAATTCGGATTTCGCAAAAACATTTCAACAAAAGAAGCTCTTATTTATGTAACAGTAAGTATTCGAAAGCAAATAGATTTAAAAAAAATCGTACATGCAGCTTTATTAGATCTGTCCAAGGCTTTTGATTCTATTTCGCATGAAGTTTTAATTGAAAAAATGCTTTCTCTCGGTTTTTCAAATGGAGCAAATGCTTTAATTGCTAGCTTCCTAAATAAACGTATTCAAAAAGTAAACGTCAATGGAATCTTTTCAGACTGGATTGAAATCAAACGAGGTGTCCCACAAGGAACGGTACTTGGTCCGTTGTTGTTCAATTTATATGTTAATGACATACAAGAGCGATTATATGAAGGTTGTACTTTAGTTCAATATGCTGACGACTATGGTTTTTCCTCTTCTATAATTTCTGAGGATGCTTTGAATCGATTGCAAAAATCACTCAATAATCTAACGGAATTTTTTGCAGAGAACCAATTGAATCTGAATGCATCTAAATTGGAATTTATAACATTTTGTCAAAAAAATGACAGCAAAAATGTAGATACTGATACAATAGTAATTAATGGGCAATATGTAGCCATAAAATCAGAATGCAAATATTTAGGCCTTATTATTGATTCAAGTTTATCTTTTCATGCTCAAATCAAAACAATTCTCCAAAAAATGGCTCAAGGAATTAAAACTATAGATACAATTGGACAACAACTTCCGACATTATCATTAGTTGCCTTGCTTCATTGTCTTGTTTTATCATATTTAGATTATTCAGCAATATTTTTACAAAAAATTAATGCTATTTTGATGCTATCTCTAGAGAAACAGTTGAACTGGGCGTTAAAAAGAACATATTTCAGATCGAAATTTAAATCTTCTTCCCTTCTTCGCATTAGCAAATCGTTTCTTGGAATCGAGAAAAGAATTGAGTTAAAGTGTATAACATACTTATACCAATATCTTACAAACAAAAAGAAGGCTTTTTAAATTACATTGAGACTACCGACTGCCAATTATAGGCTCAACAAAAGAACGAAACAAAATATTTTTGACAAACATTGTTCAACCGCTTCGCTACAAAAATCATTTTTTCATTTGACTTCTAAAAAATGGAATTCACTGCCCATAATTTTGCGCAATTTAGAAAAATAGAGAACAGGATTCAAGAAAAAATTAAAAGAATTTTACGTGAGTGAATTGAGAAACAATCCAATATTTACAAATACAAATACGTGGCGTGATTTCCGTTTTTGCGAGTTCTATATGTTTTAATTTAGTTTAATTTTCCAGACATTGTTTGAAAGAGAATCTGTATATTTTCTGTATATACGCTGTATGTTTGGACTATCTATAAAATTGTTTGTAAAGTTAAAATACCAGCTCGTTCTTAATTCTTAAAACTGATGTTTTTTTAGTATCCGTAACTTCATATATTTTAATCAACCAATTTCTGAACTGTAACCGAACTTGTTTTTGTTTTGTTTTGTTTTGTTTATTGCTTGTTTTTTGATGTTGTGTTTTTGTTTGATGTAACCAATGAATTTTAACCAACTTTATTATTTACACTTTGCTATACTGATGCCTCGGCTTTTTACTGTATAGTAATTCAGGTGTTCTTCCTTCTTCTTCTTCTTGTCAATATGATCGATTATCATGTCAAATTTAGACCACGTAATCAATTTTCAATCGATTAGAATCGATTATTTTGGAAAAATTTAAATCCATTATAATCGCATACAATGGATTTTTATTGACTAAAACGTTGTCAATATAATCGATTATCATGTCAAATTTAGACCACAATCGATTATTAATCGATTATAATCGATTATTTTGGAAAAATTTAAATCCATTATAATCCATTATAATAGATTATAATCCATTTTTGTCCACAAAGTAATCGATTTTTTTTTCAACTCTAAATCCAATATAATCGTTTATAATCCATTTTTTTTTTCAAAAAAAAATTCTTGAAAAGCCAATCATTTGCTTAATGTTCGGAATCAGCTATCTCACGACTCATTTCTTAAAAATTGGGCTATCTCCCCCTCACGCGAGAATGGGGGGGTGGGGAGATTGCTTTACTTATCCATATGTTGCTTTGCTTTATAAGCTAAGTGAATAAAAAGTCAAACGAGTCACTTACTGTTTCTGAATTTTCGGATTTAATGCGATGAAAGGCAGATCTCAACTCCAGGGAAATTTCCTTATAAAGAATTAAAAAAACTTAAATTTTGTCATATGGTTGTCTCTCCCCTCCCCCACCACTTAAAATTATTATGTTAGCTTAACCCCCACCTTCAATGGCTAGGTTGTCTTACTACCCACATTCGATGGTATTATTGTCATAAACTAAGACTGAACCCAAATTTATACTGACCTTTTTTAGTCACGAATTGATTCTAGCAATAAATGAGTCTAGCAATAAATAAAAGACAAACGAAATCTTAAAATAAAATTTTAAGTTAGCTAGGATGATGATGATGATGATAAAAGAATTAATTCCCTTAAATAAATTAAGGCAAAAATAAAAACAATGAAGGAGGGATATTTAATTGAAGTATTCCACCTTCAATTAATTATCCCGCTCCCCCCTCCACTTGAATAGTCACCAATATAAATATTTCTCTTTGCAAATTGCTATTTGAATTGGGAGGGGGGGATATTTCAATGAAGTTTTTCACCTTCATGGAAATATCCCCCCTCCATTTAAAAATTCCCCAATTTAAATATTTATTTCTTTGCAAATTCATCCTGAAAAATTTTTTTGAAAAACTATTTTGAATCTCCGGAATCTAGCGGAATTTTCCGTTCCAAAGGTTTTTTTATATCACATTAGATTTAGAAAATTCTGCTCAACAATTTGGTATGCAGCTGAAAACATCTTGGTCGGGATGGGCAGAAAAAATGGTAAATGGTTTCAACAAACAAAAAAGACTTTTAAAAAGTTTTACAGGATGCATAATTCAATCCCCCCAGTAAAGTAGAACTCAAATTTTATGAATTTAACAAGTCTTCTTCGTATGCGAAAACCATTTACCATAATAGCTGCCAGCCCCGACCATAAAATTCAAGTAATAATTTCTGGAATAACTATCACTGACACTTCTGGAAAGGGTCAGTCATAATCAAGAATGAAGTTCCCGGTATAGTCAAGAATTAACGTTGTATAGTCAAGAAAAAATGTCAATCCCCGGGTATAATAAAATAAAATTACAAGGATTATTCATATTGTGTCATGTTTGAAGCCATTTCCGTATTTTAAATGTCAATTTGAGGTCGCACAATTACAAAAAAATTTTTTCGAAAGTTTAAAAAAAAGGGGTCAAAAAACTTTTGAAAAGATAATGAAGAGAATTTAATTTATTCCAAACTAGGCAACTGACATTGGTAACAGTTTTTCTGAAAATTTAAAAGAAGAAATTCGCAATTATAATCGGTTATAATCGATTAAAAATGGATTATTTTGCTTTAAAAACAAGTTTTATTTTCTTTCAAAGATAATCGATTATAATCGATTATAATCGATTATATTAGGATTTTTTTGCTTAAAAAATAGTTTCATTATAATACATTTTTAATCAATTATAATCGATTATTTTTGTAATTTTATTGAGACTGTCAACAAAAATCCAGTATAATTATCCATGAAACTTTGGTGCGGGTATATTTTAAACAAAAGTAAAGCCTGGTTTTTGCCAAACAAGACCAATAACAATGTTCTTGTTATTGGTCTTGTTTGGCAAAATTTGGTATGCACCGATTCCAAGTGAGTTTTCTTTTCACCACCACTCCTTAGAATGATCCTGAAAAGAAAGCTCACTTGGAAACTTGTATTAGATTATTTAAAACATTTTAATAAATTTAATAGCAGTTTCCTGAGAATTAAATTTCCGAGAAAATGTCTCGATAACGATATTTTTACCAGACTTTTTACGGTTTTGCGTGCCTGATAACGGTGTTTTTTCGGATCAAGCGGTGCACAGCTTCCAACTGGGACTCTTAAGATATGAGCTAAGCCAGGCAGACGCGGATAGGGCCAAGGCATCGGGTAACCTAGTAAAAGCAAGAGAGGTGACGAGAAGGTGTATAGATGATAAGTGGTGGCCTTCGGTAATATTCTATCTGAACTAGCAAGCAAGGTGTAGTGTCAATAACCCGATAAGCCGACACAAGAAAAAGCTTGAAAAACTTTCGGAAAGACAGGATAGACCATTAAAAAACTTGGATGAAAGGATAGTTAGAATTTTAGATGAAGTGATTTTGCCGCTTTGGGTGCGGGAAGTCTTAAGTTTTGGACCAAAACATCCGGTACGAGTCAAATTCAATGAAATTCACTTCCTTGCTGACATTGATAGTTTTTTGTCTGAACTGAACCATAGTTCAGATTTTTTATAAACACTAAAATTATAGTCTAATTATAACATGGCTAAATTTTGAAAAACTGACAAGTCAGAATCAAAAATGTTCCCAAATCGAAATTTTATAACCAGAAAGAACAAAAAACAAAAAATATCAGAAATTTACAGGAAAATAATATTCATGATTACGTAATCATATTATGTAATTACAGTTGTTCAAATTTGATTGGTTAAAAAAAATTTTAGAGCCCTTTTAGACACGTTTCTCATTTTTCAGATCTTTGATCGTTTTGTAAATATTGTAAAAAATTTTCAATCCTGATGATGCACAGAATGTGCGAAAACGTTTGAATTAACATTTTAAATTTCTTATAATTATTTTTTTCTAAATACAAATCCTTTTTAGCGATAAGCTATAAGCAAACTGTTATATTCCTTTAAGGAAAACAGTCATATTTCGAAAAAAAATTTTCTCTATTTGTACAGAATTTGTTTACCACTTTTTGTTCATAATGTCAGTAGTGTTTGAGTCAAAATGGCGATGATTGTAGCTGCCAGCTCCCTTTATCACAGCCTGAAAGATCTTGAGCAAGAGGAACGAAGAGAGACGCAGCAGAAGGTCTACGCAGTCCCCGGCCTTTCTTTGAACCCCAATACCTTGAACAGGGGGAAGGATTTACGAGTGTTATTGGAATTGCAACCTCTGACCAGTAAGCAGATTATTATCTGGCACGACGTGCTGAACAACAGCATATCCTCATATCGCACGAACAACTATTTGCCCTGCCCACTTGACGAACTACTGGCGTATTTACAATCAAAGCGAAGACAAATTAGTGGCATTGTCTACTGCAGGAGAACGGGCACTCCCGATATTTTTGAGGATCTGCGGAAGACAGAGATAATCGTCATAAAAACAACTGGTAGCCTTATCTCTAGAAGGAAGAGACAGAATCCCGCGGTCCTCAGAGAGTATCTTCAACTGCACCAGTCAAGGGAATTGGAGTTGAAGTCACTACGGGTGGTGCTGTCCCATCGAGATCACCTGCCAGGCATCTTTTAATTTTATAAACACAAAAATTTTAGTCTAGGTATAACATGGCTAAAATTTGAAAAACTGACTTGTCAGAATCAAAAATGTTCCCAAATCGAAATTTTATAACCAGAAAGAACAAAAATCGAAAAATCTCAAAAATTTACAGGAAAATAAAATTCATGATTACGTAATCATATTATGTAATTACAGTTGTTCAATTTTGATTGGTTAAAAAAAATTTTAGAGCCTTTTTAGACACGTTTCTCATTTTTCAGATCTTTGATCGTTTTGTAAATATTGTTAAAAAATTTTAATCGTGATGATGCACAGAATGTGCGAAAACGTTTGAATTAACATTTTAAATTTCTCATAATTATTTTTTTTAAATCCTAACCCTTTTTAGCGATAAGCTATAAGCAAACTGTTATATTTCTTTAAGGAAAACAGTCATATTTCGAAAAAAAATTTTCTCTATTTGTACAGAATTTGTTTACCACTTTTTGTTCATAATGTCAGTAGTGTTTGAGTCAAAATGGCAATGATTGTAGCTGCCAGCTCCCTTTATCACTGCCTGAAAGATCTTGAGCAAAAGGAACGAAGAGAGACGCAGCAGAAGGTCTACGCAGTCCCCGGCCTTTCTTTGAACCCCAATACCTTGAACAGGGGGAAGGATTTACGAGTGTTATTGGAATTGCAACCTCTGGCCAGTAAGCAGATTATTATCTGGCACGACGTGCTGAACAACAGAATATCCTCACATCGCACGAACAACTATTTGCCCTGCCCACTTGACGAACTACTGGCGTATTTACAATCAAAGCGAAGACAAATTAGTGGCATTGTCTACTGCAGGAGAACGGGCACTCTCAATATTTTTGAGGATCTGCGGAAGACAGAGATAATCGTCATAAAAACAACTGGTAGCCTTATCTCTAGAAGGAAGAGACAGAATCCTGCGGTCCTCAGAGAGTATCTTCAACTGCACCAGTCAAGGGAATTGGAGTTGAAGTCACTACGGGTGGTGCTGTCCCATCGAGATCACCTGCCAGGCATCGTCTGAAGGATACGGGCCCAGACCAAGAAACCATCACAAGGACACCGCAGGGCAAAGGCGCGGAGAGCGGAGGTGTTGGCTGGCGACCTCCAGTTGGAACCGAACGACCAATAAGGGGTAAGATTTTGGGGTGGCTGTGTTTTTTGCTGAGTGCCACATGAGTTAGATTATTTAAAACATTTTAATAAATTTAATAGCAGTTTCCTGAGAATTAAATTTCTGAGAAAATGTCTCGATAACGACATTATACCAGACTTTCTACGGTTTCGTGTGCCTGATAACGGTGTTTTTTCGGATCATGCGGTGCACAGCTTCCAACTGAGACTCTTAAGATCTGAGCTAAGCCAGGCAAATGCGGATAGGGCCAAGGCATCGGGTAAACTAGTAAAAGCAAGAGAGGTAGTGAGAAGGGGTATAGATGAGAAGTGGTGGCCTTCGATAATATTCTATCTGAACCGGCAAGCAAGGTGTAGTGTCAATAACCTGCTAAGCCGACACAAGAGAAAAACTTTCGGAAAGACAGGATAGACCATTAAAAAACTTGGATGAAAGGGCGGTTAGAGTTTTAGATGAAGTGATTTTGCCGCTTTGGGTGTGGGAAGTCTTACGTTTTGGACCAAAACATCCGGTACGAGACAAATTCAATGAAATTCACTTCCTTGCTGACATTGATAGTCTTTTGTCTGAACTGAAGTTAAATAGAATACCCGGAGAAAAATTATGTGAGATTGAAGCAGCTGCAAAGAGATATGCTAAGAATGTGAAACAGACCCCCTTTGACAAGGGTGTTGAAAAAGCCAGAAAGTATTTGAAGGACAACGATCTTCTGGCAGTGCCATTTGACATGGGGGTGGGTTTTTGTGTAATGAAAAAAGAGACACGTGAGAAAAAACTGAAAAACTTATTACAGGCAGAACAATTTAGTGAGAGGAAGAATCTGACAGACAGCGTGATTATGAAAATTGAGAAAGACATAAACAAAGAATTACTCGCCATGAAAAAGAAGGACGAGGTTAATGAAGCGATGTATGATAGGTTGAGATCAACGGGAGTGCAGCCGGCTAGACTGTATGGATTAGCAAAAGTACACAAACGAGGCACACCACTTCATCCCGTCCTTTCTTTACCTGTTAGCTCATATGACAACCTAAATAAAACATTGGCAAAGTATTTGATGAAATTGAGGGGGCAAACATAGAAACAAACACTCAAATGGCCTGGGAGATCTTGGAGAAAACTGAGTTGGACTCTGACGAGAGTATAATCTCTCTTGATGTAAAGAGTTTGTACACTAATGTCCCGCTCAAGGAAGCGGTTAAAATAGCCCTGAGGAGATTATTTGAGCAAGTCGACCCTCCGGAAACATCTTGCAAGACTATGAAAAAACTACTGAATTCGGCAGTGAGTAAGGTACACTTTAAATGCAATGGTTTGTGGTATGTACAAAAAGACGGTTTAGCAATGGGCGCCTCCCTTGCAATAATATTGGCTAATTTGTGGCTCAAAGAATACGAACATGCATTAAAGAAAGAAGTACCGAAATTGACTGTGCTAAGTGAGGGTAACAAGGAAGTGTGCCCTAGATGTCAGAAAAAGGTGACATATTGGACAAAAGGAGTTGAGTGCAAAGCTTGTTTGAATTGGTACCCTTTTAGGGTGTGGTAACATATCGGAATCCGAATACGCAGACATCGCTGAAACAATATGGTATTGCATGACTTGCAAAAAACAACGGGAAGCAGATCGGACTGTGAATGGGGTTAAAGTTTTTGTAAGATATGTGGACGACATAGTTAGAACGGTCAAGGGTGATCCTGGGGTAGTTCTCGAGGCTGCCAATAAGTTGCATCCAAACTTGCAGTTCACCATAGAAGAACTCGATAGTAACGGTAATTTGGCCTTTTTTGGACTTTAATGTCAACGTGGATTCAGCAAAAAAGGTCACATGTGGTTGGTACCAAAAACCCACTGATACCGGCACCATTCTATATTTCAGAGGCTGCGCACCTTTGCAGTTCAAAAGAAACGTTAATGAAGGGACGGTTCATAGGGTTTTTAGAAGTACCTCAACATGGGAGTATTTTGACCAGGCATTGGAAAAAAATCGGAAACTATGGATCCAAAAAATTGGTCTGACAGGGTAGTGTTTGAAACTCTTAACAAGATCATTGAGGGAAAGAAAAATTTAGAGGTGAAGGCATCAGAACTGAGAAATGACAAATGGTTGAAAGACTCAGGACCCCTTCTTACAATGCAATATCGAGGCAATCCATCTCAACTGTTGGCTGCAAAGGTTTGGCTAATATCCGGGGCACAAATAATTTTTACAACAAGAAAATTGAAAACATGCTTGCCATCCCTCAAAACTTCCTTTGCTCGTGAACTGAGATCCAAAATGGTGTACAAGCTTACATGTAGTGGATGTAACTCCACCTATGTTGGTCAGACAGTCCGACATTTAGCCACGAGGGTCGATGAACACCGCAAAGGGGACTCCCCAGTAGGACAACACTTGTTAGAATGTAATAAGGAGGTAGGCGGTACTGCTGAGCTGAAGTGAGAGATTATAGACCAAACAGCCAACACTCATAAGCTACTGACACTAGAGGGAGAGGCCGAAGATCAACACACGCAATGAATTCAGAAGCCGGGAACTAACACTAAAATTTTAGTCTATGTATAACATGGCTAAAATTTAGAAAACTGACATGTCAGAATCAAAAAAGTTCGCAAATCGAAATTTTATAACCAGAAAGAACAAAAAACTAAAAAATCTTAGAAATTTACAGGAAAATGTTATTCATGATTACGTAATTATATTATGTAATTACAGTTGTTCAAATTTGATTGGTTAAGAAGTTTTAGAGCCTTTTTAGACACGTTTCTCATTTTTCAGATCTTTGATCGTTTTGTAAATATTGTTAAAAAATTTTAATCCTGATGATGCACAGAATGTGCGAAAACGTTTGAATTAACATCTTAAATTTCTTATATGTTATTGGACAAGTTACAGAAGTAGACAAAAAAGTCTTTTGCAATAAAGACATCTTCAGGGAACAAACCGAATTTCAGGTTTTTGTCACAAGCGAAATAAGGCAACAATTGGTTTTTTGTGCATCTTATCACACAGCTAAAGATAACCAGAAAAGTGAATTTGATACAAACTTAACGTAGGAATTCACAAAATGGCAGCAAAAGTTGCATCCTGGAAAATCAGAAATTCTTACTGAAGGATTCTATTTATAATTTAGCAAAAGGGACCAGTAGTGGCCAAAGTTTTAAAATTGGAAAAAAACCGGACTCTTTTTCCACTCTAAAATCACTCTAAAAACTTACAGGTGGGGGGGGGGGGGTTACGGGGAGGAAAAAGATCCAAAAACTGTTTAGAGGATAATTCAACAAAAAGGCGGGGGTGTGATCTAAAAACAATGATGCGAAAAAAAAACAGTCAAGTTTGCTGAGTTTACTTTCTACACCCCAGAAGTATCTTTGGAATTCACAAGTGGTTCTGAAGCGCCTCGCATAAAACTTACTGACACAATGGGCAGAGTAGCCTATCTTTTATCATTCTGCCTGAGAGTAAAAGGATAAAAGAGAAAATTAAGCAAGAAATTGAGGGGGGCGAGCTCCGAAACGACTTGCTCTGGACTATCGTTGCCCCAACTTTTTATGACGTACTGCTGCTACCGGAGTTGGCACCTTCGGACACAGTGATGAGAGACACTTCAAGAGTCTCTCTCTCTTCTGCTTCTGCCACCCAGACTAAGAAGAACGAGAGAAATATTTTATAGTTCTGGTGGAGGCAAAAAATATTCTTGGATATCTAGCGGCCCAAACATTCGACAAACACTGATTGGAGGCTGCGAGCAGTTTGTTAAGAGGTCAAACGGACTTTATACTTTTTCATCCTAAATAATTGATAGTTTCGTCAATTGTGTGCTAAAAACTATTCTCAGTCGGCTACTGGTTGTAATGACCTAGCATCATTCTTTATGCATATTTGCGATTTTTTTCAAAAATAAAAGTTGCTCGGTCGTTTGTAGAAAACTCCTTTATAAATGACAGCTATAATATAATCAAATGGATGTACCTGTTTCTTTAGGAAAAAGATCAAGATCACCTTTGAAATTTTGATCTAGTTCAACCAAACGGTTTATCATTTAAGACCTATGACAAAATCACCCAACATAATTCACTGATATTCAAGCAAAAACTTCGTTGGGAGGGAACCAAAACGCAGTTTTTCTTGTCAAGTTTCTATGACAGGTATGTATAAACAAAGCTGAGAAAATTCGAGAAAAAAACATTTCAACCCTACAAAAATAGCGGGAAGAACAAGAGGAGGGCACTTATACGTGAATAGACCGCAATCAGTTGGCCAAAATTTTTTTATGAATTAAACCTAGTTACTAAGTTAGCAAAACTTTGTGACTAACCTAACGAAAAAAAAATTTAAAAGAAAAATCAACTTCTTGATTCTGATATATCTTTACAGGTGAATCCACCTTTTAGCTTCAATATTTAATGACGAACCTTCTATAGAAAAAATTGTGACATAGATTTCAAGGACAAGTTGAAGCAATAAAACAGTGGTTTAAATTTAGAAAAAAAAAGGCCGCAAAAAACTCAGTGCAATTTCTGAAAACATCATAAAACTATAAAGAAATTTACCCTACAAAAATACAAGTTCAAAATGACAAACACGACAAACCATCATTTTAGGATTCGTCAAAAATTGTTCACAGAAAGATTTTGTGGGTAAAAATATTACCAAAGATATGAGGCATTGTCTCCTCAAACTTAATTGCCCTAGGACAGTTCCGACGGACTGATTGGAAGCCGCTCTTGTGACGTTAAATAGTTATAGATTTCCTAGCCTCTAGTTGACTTAGCGCAGGCTCGATTTGTTTTCCTAGATTTGCGGCGGTCGAAGAGGAAGGGTAAAAAAAACCTGTGAGTAAAGATTTCAAAATGAAAATGGCTATCTTTTTCAATTGCTAGTTTTGAAATTTCAAAGTGCAGCCGGCTCCATTGCTGAGATTTCTAGGTAAACTGTAGAACTTGATCACAAGTCTAGAAGACTCCAGTGGAGGTAGTTGTGTGACAGATGAACTATTTTTGTCAACCTTTGTTGTGAATAACACATGATTACTTGGCGTAATTTATGATAAAAATTAGGCAAATCTTTTTGCAAACTTTTGGGAAAATTTAATCATCGTTTCAATTTGCTGATTTTTTTTGTAAAAAAGGGCAAATTTTTAAAGTTTACGTATAACCTCAGGTGTAAATAATCAATTCAGCTCAGTTTTTTGTGTTTTTTAACCCCAATTTTTCCAAATTTTTTTGACTGCGTACCAGGATGAAGGCCTCTTGATGTAACTCAATTTTTACTCTCTGAAAACTTTCATAAAAGTGTAAATCATTAAATTTTTTCTTAGTTCGTTTCCCCTAAATGCTTAGATTTAAAAAGGTGCATTATTAGGCCAATTTTTTTAGCAAAGTTTTTTTAGCCAATTTTTTCTAGAAAAATGGGTCTGATTCTTTTCGATTAACAGGCTAAATTAACTGAAACTTGATGAGAGTCTGACCTCTCAACTTTAAAGCTACCAAAACTTTAACGCTAAGTTTCTGATTTCAACGTTGTCTTAACTATATAACTATAATGTTTTTGTCCTTAAGGATCGCCAACTTGGTGATTCTGGTATTTATAAAATTAGCAATTTTGGCTTTGAAGTCTAAAAATATGTTAAGACTTGTTTGCGATAATTCTAAGCTTTTAAATCGAATAAGTTACGTCATATAAATTTCAGCTGGATGGGGAAAGCGACGAAGAAGATCACGAACAGATGAGCGTGAATGAGAAAACACACCTGCCGCCTTAAACGACTAGAAACATCAACAAACGCATAATGCAAAGTTGGTAAAATCCATAAACAGAGACGAGAACGACATAATTGACTGACGACTTCATCAGACGAATAAAAAGAATTCAATCAGTGACTAAAACGCTTTGAAAAAAGTCATTGGAGGTGACAACTGATTAACTGATTTAGAAACATTTAAAACTAAATGATAATTGTTAAACAACCGCCGTCGGGTTTTAATCTAGCCGCATATAAGATTGCATAAACACAGTCATACTATTTTAATTCCAAATGGGGCTCAAATTGCACACGGTGATAAAAAAAATGATAATGATATATTTCTGAAATTAAAAGAGCTTCCAAAAATTTTCAACGATGCAAGTTTTTCTGAAAAAAAAAGTTATTTTCCGTTTAATTGTGCCCAGTAAAATTTTTCCATCACTCCATGGGCATTTTTCAAGAAAATTATTTCTACTGGGCGACAAGGAAACGCATCAACGTCAATTTCGCTTCAATCTTACCTCAAAATAAAACGGTATGGAAAACCGTAAAATCTTACAAACAAACGCTTTTTAAGCAAATTTGATCACATTTCAGCAACGGTTTTACATTTGAATTTTTTAAGTTCGAGTTTCATTGCAAGCTTGAACGTAAATTATGCCCAAAATTAACCAGAAAACCCCAGTTTTTATCCAACGAAAAAGGTATGGTTATGGCTCAATCTTCAGTTTTTTTCCGTTTATTGACCGTAAGAAGGCAATGATTTTCAAGAAATGTCAATCAATCAACGTACTAAAATTAGTTGTAATGAAAACATAGATAAAATATAGATCTTTTTTCGTTTTTTTTGTTTAAAATTTTTAGAGATCAACTTTTAGGCAACTTTTATTAAACTTTGCTGCTATCTATCGCAGCAAGCACATGCTTTTTTGCAAATTTTCAAAGCCTTCACTTTTTAAACAGTTTTGTGGTTCATTGAAAATTTGAAAATTTCCTGTTGCGTTTTCAGGCTTGCACAGTATATCATTTGATCAAGTTTTATTTTGTTCAATTTTTTTAAATTCCTTTAAATTAGACTTAATCGAACTGATTTGACTTCAGTGAACTTGGTAAACTTTTTTTCGTAACCATTGAAAATAGGGATGAATTTTGTCTTGGGGTGGGTTTTATTTTTGTTGTTCAGACGTAGTAAAGACTTTTCTATTAGTCATGATGATGTTCGTTTTCGTTTTTTATTCAGGAAAAGTCTCAAAATGTTCTATAAACGAAAAAAAATTTTCCTTCTCATAAATGCACAAATGAATACCCTTCGGTAAATATGCTTTTTTGAATTCAATTCAAAAATTTTTTGGACAAAATACAAGCAAAATGCGCACTCCAATTATGAAAGCTGAATTGGCACGAAAAAAGAAAGTGATCAATTGCTAGTTTCGAAAGCCGAATTGAAGTTTTAGATTTCCCAGTGGAAGAAATTTTTTCCCTAATATCTGTTGAATTCAAATAAATTTAAGTCCGTTTGTATTTTTAAGAGTAATTAACGTAGTGATTATTCTTATATAGGTCTTGGTAGTTTTTTGTTTGTTTTTCAGGAAAACTTCGTTATATTTATTTGAGTTTTTGTGAGTTTTTGTTTTTCAGGAAAACTTCGTTATATTTATTTGAGTTTTTGCGGTACTACTTTCAATTTTTTTTCAGTTCACTTCATTTCTGTAATTAAAAGGCAGACAAGCTACACTATTGAACAGCAAAAATATGAAAACGACAAAAAACGTAATCGAATTTTAATTTCGAAAATGTAAACCAAAAATCATATTTCCCAGCGAAACAAAAGTTATACCTTTGGCTATGTTGTTTGTTTTCCTCTCAAAGTCAGGTACCACAAACAGTCATGGGAAAGTACCATACTTCAAATTAAAGAATTTTCCAACAATCAGCTTAAAAATTCAAAGTTTTAGTCTTTTCTTTGAGCAAGTAAAAGTTGTAGTAAGTAACTTAGTTTTACTCAAGAAAACCTAGTTTTAGAGACTTCATCTAGCTTTTCCTTGGCAATGACTCTTTTAAGTCAAAAAAAGCTTGCAAAAAGTCGGTGTTTTTTAACAGCTTCCATTTTTTGTCAGAGTCGATGAACGTAGTAAAGCTTCTTTTATAGGTCGTGAAAATTTTATTCAGACAATTTGAGCTCAAATTAGATTTTTTTATTTTAAAAAACTCAATTCAATTTCTTTTTTAGAAGGAAAGCAAACTCTACTATTCTTCAGCAAAAATATAAAAATCAAAAAAAATGATTGAATCCTAATTTAAAAAAAATTTCATATTTTCTAGCGGAATTAAGACTTAAGTTATTGATCCGGTTTATTTTCAAATTGTGTAAACTTTATCATGATTGTGTCAATCATTAAATATATTTTGTTATGAATGTGGTCGGATCAATCTGTGATACTCGGAGAACAACCGGCAACCATTGTGAGCTTCTGACTCCAATATCATTACGCATCGAATTTAAATTCAGCATTTGACCTCACCTGCAATTTTGATTTGTAGAGTTTTGATTAACATGGTTCAATTACCATAGAAAGTTTACTATACTTTAACAAGCTCTAGGAAATGTATCTATTTCATCTAAAAACTCACACAAAGAGGCATAGATGTATTTCGCAAACAAGCGAGAAAACAGCAAAAAGTAGCTTCAAGAAGTCTTAAAAAGTGAAAAAAAGTTAAAATAGGGATTGGAACGTAACATTTTTGATTTGCGCCGGAATCGAACCTTTAACTAAGAGATTACGAGTCTCAACATGGTTGCTTGATGTTGGTTATTCAAACTCTAGCCATCAAAAATAAATAGAATAGATGCTATTAAATTGTTAATGCTATGAGCAAGTTTTTGCAAGTTAGGTTAGAAAAAAAAGAGATATGTAATCTAATACACGAGGATCTAGTTGATTTCTGTAAAAAAAAAAACCGTTTTTATTCTGTAAAAAATTTCTTTATTTCTATGTAATAAGCGCTCTAGAGAAAATCTAGATTTCCTGAAAAAAATTTCGTTATTTCTAAATAATGAGCGCCCTAGAGAAAATCTAGATTTGAATCTCGACTCACAACTTTCAACATATGGTGAAAACTGCACTTTGCAAATACAAGCGGAAAAAGGCCAAAAAGTAGCTATTAAAACAATAACTGTTTTATGAAAAACATAAGTCTTGAAAATTAAAATTGAAACATAGCCAATCGCAGATTGGAAAAGAGTAATGAACGCAAGTAAATAGAAAAACACTGACTTAGTTGAAACAATCTCAAAGTTCGAAAAAAGATGCCTCATATACATTAACAGTTTCATATAGATGCCTCAGAAAGTTTCACATACTTTAACAAGTTCTGGGAAGAAATTTATCAATAAAAATTCACACAAAGAGGCATAGATGCATTTCGCAAACAAGCGGGAAAACAGCAAAAAGTAGCTTCAAGAAGTCTTAAAAAGTGAAAAAAAAGTTAAAATAGGGATTGGAACGTTAGTTATTTTATTTGTGCAGGAAGCGAACCTTTGACTAGGAGATTACGAGTCTCAACAAGGTTGTTTGACGCTGGTTACTTCAACTCTATCCGTAAAAAAAATTAAATAGAACAGATGCTATTAAATTCTTAATGCTATGAGCAAGATTTTGCGAGTTAGGTTAGCAATAAAGAGATTCGTAATTTAACACACGGGTTTCTAAATGACTACTGTAAAAAATATATCAGGTTTTACTCTGTAATAAATTTCTTTATTTCTATATAATGAGCGCCCTAGAGAAAATCCAGATTTCAATCTCGGCTCACAAGTTTCAACATATGGTCAAAACTGCACTTCGCAAAGACGAGCGGAAAAGTCAAAAAAGTAGCTCTTAAAACAATAACTACTTTACAAAAACATAAATTTTGAAAATGAAACTTGAAACAAAGCCAATCGAAGATTGCAAAAGAGTAATGAACGCAAGTAAACAAAAAAACACTGACTTCGAAAAAAAATCTCAAATTTCAAAAAAAGAGATTCCTCTTAAGCTCTTTGAATTTCAAGAACAATTCATGATCGGCGCTGTTTTGATAGCATTAATCCAACTTAAAAAAATTGAATCAACAGGTATGTTTTTTCTTCTGCTGGAAACCTGAAAATCAAATTCAATTTTCGAAACACGTTTTTTCGCGCCATTTTCACTTTTGTATTTGGAGAGTGCTATTTACGTCACTTGCTATTTACGTCACAACAAATGCATAGAAAACAATATTTGCAACTTAGGTTGGAAAAAACAAGAAGTGCATCAATATTTTAAGACAAAAAAAACAAAAAAAATCAGCAAGACTTATATAAGAGTCTTCACTACGTTCATTACTCTTAATTGTCGGTTTTATATCAACTAAACAGCTGTGTAACCGTGACTAAATTTGAAAGAAATTGACAGATCAGACATTTCATAATATAAAATATTACATGCAATAAATAATTGCATGCAATAAAATATAAAGGGAAAGTCTACACTGCTAACGATGAGGTAGATTGAACAAAAAGACAAAACCCTCTTCGTGGGCACAACGGCAAGAAAAATAGCCAACAAGCAGCTGTAAAAGAGATAATGACCTCAAGGTAACCGAAAAAAAGCTTATTTTATAATTTTTTTATCGTTTCTTGGTTTCAAATTGAAAAATGTATCAATTTAAAGCTCTTTGGGTTTCAACTTGCTAAATTTATGATAGACACTTTATTGATAAACAAACAGCCCATTTAGAGAAAACGTAAATGGACCTACAGATAATATTTTATTCCACTGCGAAATCTTTAAGTTAAGCCCACTTCTGAATATCAACGTCACTCGCGTTTTTTGCGCCATTTGTGTTTTCGTTATTGGAGAGCGTAATTTTCGTTCTTTTCCGCAAATTAATTTGAACTGAAATTGAAAAGAAGTCAGAAATCAACTCAAAACAATTAAGAAATCAAACAAAAATTGGAAATACACGAATTGAAGTGAAAACTCACTCAGTCCATTTACACTTGCAAAAATTGTAAGTGATAGACTGCTTACCAATGCAGTCGTAGCGCGTGCAAGAAAGCCGACAATCCTTCCATCAGCAACAGAATCGCCACAGTCAAACAAGCCCAAGCTGCAAAAACAGGTACAACAATAACACATCCAACCAGACCTCGCGTTCCATTCAGACCCTGGACCATCACCATGCTCCACAGCACCTCCGAGAGCTCGGCATGTGCGAGGGAGAGTGCCCACAGTCGGAGGTAGGAGGCGGTGTGCGAGATACATCCGAGACAGAACTCGATGGTGTGGATGGCTTGCAGGATCATGATCTGACCGAAGTCGAACTGAAACATAACATTGCCCAATAGAAAGGATAGGTAACTTAAAAAAGTGGCACAGTCTCTCGTATACGAAGTGTTATAATAGTAATGAGAAAATCATGATTTTTTATAGCTTTCCGACCATAACTTGAAGAAATCTTTGATTTCAATGCTTCCTGCTAAATAAATTTTGTATAATAGATTATTTTTCCATGGGCGTCGCTTTAGCAGCTTTATATATGCACTGAAACCTCTTCCTCGTCTGGTCGATGACTAATGTCGCCATTACTGCTCGACAATAGTGGAGCATTTAATTCATCATCTTCATCCCCGTGATCAATTCTTCCATTGTTCACACTGATTTCGAGTCCCTCTTCATCTGAACTGCTTTCCAGTGCCAATGAAGTATACATTTGACCTGATTTATTCTTGGAGTCTCTCTTCTTATTTGTAAACTGCACCTCTGCTTGTGCGTCATCCTTCTGCGCCAGGGCTGTATAGTTGACCTTTGCTGCTCTTTTGCCACTGAGAGATCTCTGAAGAAAATCAAAGAGGTTGGGGTTAGTTTAAAAACAAGGGGTGCTCACCTCATCGTCATCATGACCATGAGAACCCCCTTTTTGAGCTGCCCCTATTGACTGGGGTTGGGCTTCGGAATCTATGACGTGGGGTTCCTGGGAGGACTGTTCGGCCAGCTCGTCATGCGAGATGAGGCCCTGCGCACCCTCCGCGTCCTCGTCAGCATTACTCAAGTTTTTGAAAGAGAGGCCCTGCCAACATACAGAGTCCGTCTCATCTCAAAACAATTAACTCTTATCCAACCCAGAAAATGACACCAAGGAGTTAAGGCAGACGTGCTTTAGTCACCACTCATGAATTGACTCCTTTTCTGGTATCTTACTAAATCTGTGTTTTTAAAATCAATTATCATGCATGTCTTTCTGGTTATGGCGATTCAACCGAAATAAAAAATTTTCAAAAAGTAAAGTCTCAAAAATCGCTTAGAAAAACTGCTCGAAATCTGACACTAAAAATGAAAAGTGTAAAATTTTTCCAATAAAATCATGTTGAATTTTAGAGCTATCCGGAAATACAATATCTTTCTCAGCATGCCAATTGTAGTTTTTTAAAAATAGCATTTTACGACAAAAATTGACTCCCCTTGGTTCATTATTTTGGACTCATTGGCACATAAGTTATGTATACAGGTGTCTCAGTTATGTATACAGTTATGTATACAAGTGGTGACAGAAAATTTGGGTTTTCAGACAGTTTGGGTTACTGTGCCCCAGACCAAGAACATTCAATGGGATAACATCAACAATCTTATTTCAGATTTTTTAAATTGTTTTTATTTTTTTTTTCGGTTTAGATAAACTATTTCTAGATACAACGTTCTAAGGGGAGCTTTAACTGGTTAAACTATCTTTCAATAGTTCTTTTTCAAGACTAAGTCATTCAGGTTATTTAACTCCTTATGCACTTCTGTCTTTTAGAACTTAACGTTGAACTGAACTTTAGAAATCAAAAGTCAAAACTCGTAAAATCAAATTTGAGAGCAAACGAATTTTATTTAAATTTCCCGAAAACAGATAAAACCACGTCCTGAAAATCTTCGCTTCTTTCATTTACACTTCAAAATGCTGAAGGATCAACGTGCCGAGCTATATGATTGCTAAAATGCTTTAACAAAAATTTTCGTTATCTTGAACAAAATGATAATTTACGGCAAAAATTAGACACAGAGGCGAAGCTGAGCTTCGCACGACTTGCGATACAACTTTGATTAAAATCAAAACAAAAAATTTGAAAAAAGAAATCACAAAATCGTTTTTGTCAATAAAAAATTGTCAATAAAAAAGCGGTCTTAAGCAGTTCTGTCCCCTCTACGGCAGAAGGGCCGGATGCTTGATTGAAGTTGAATTTATAATTACCATGTGGTAACAAAGCCGAAAATACCTGAGCAAAAACCTTTCATGGTGAAAAAATCAAAAAATATCTAAGCTAATAAAAATAATTTATGTCCCTTTTCCCCTCAGAGCACACACACGCACATATTTTTTTTAGATCCCCGAACGACCCAATAAGAGGCCACTAGATTGAAATTTAAAAGCTGAATTGGCACGAAAAAAGAAAGTGATCAATTGCTAGTTTCGAAAGCCGAATTGAAGTTTTAGATTTCCCAGTGGAAGAAATTTTTTCCCTAATATCTGTTGAATTCAAATAAATTTAAGTCCGTTTGTATTTTTAAGAGTAATTAACGTAGTGATTATTCTTATATAGGTCTTGGTAGTTTTTTGTTTGTTTTTCAGGAAAACTTCGTTATATTTATTTGAGTTTTTGTGAGTTTTTGTTTTTCAGGAAAACTTCGTTATATTTATTTGAGTTTTTGCGGTACTACTTTCAATTTTTTTTCAGTTCACTTCATTTCTGTAATTAAAAGGCAGACAAGCTACACTATTGAACAGCAAAAATATGAAAACGACAAAAAACGTAATCGAATTTTAATTTCGAAAATGTAAACCAAAAATCATATTTCCCAGCGAAACAAAAGTTATACCTTTGGCTATGTTGTTTGTTTTCCTCTCAAAGTCAGGTACCACAAACAGTCATGGGAAAGTACCATACTTCAAATTAAAGAATTTTCCAACAATCAGCTTAAAAATTCAAAGTTTTAGTCTTTTCTTTGAGCAAGTAAAAGTTGTAGTAAGTAACTTAGTTTTACTCAAGAAAACCTAGTTTTAGAGACTTCATCTAGCTTTTCCTTGGCAATGACTCTTTTAAGTCAAAAAAAGCTTGCAAAAAGTCGGTGTTTTTTAACAGCTTCCATTTTTTGTCAGAGTCGATGAACGTAGTAAAGCTTCTTTTATAGGTCGTGAAAATTTTATTCGGACAATTTGAGCTCAAATTAGATTTTTTTATTTTAAAAAACTCAATTCAATTTCTTTTTTAGAAGGAAAGCAAACTCTACTATTCTTCAGCAAAAATATAAAAATCAAAAAAAATGATTGAATCCTAATTTAAAAAAAATTTCATATTTTCTAGCGGAATTAAGACTTAAGTTATTGATCCGGTTTATTTTCAAATTGTGTAAACTTTATCATGATTGTGTCAATCATTAAATATATTTTGTTATGAATGTGGTCGGATCAATCTGTGATACTCGGAGAACAACCGGCAACCATTGTGAGCTTCTGACTCCAATATCATTACGCATCGAATTTAAATTCAGCATTTGACCTCACCTGCAATTTTGATTTGTAGAGTTTTGATTAACATGGTTCAATTACCATAGAAAGTTTACTATACTTTAACAAGCTCTAGGAAATGTATCTATTTCATCTAAAAACTCACACAAAGAGGCATAGATGTATTTCGCAAACAAGCGAGAAAACAGCAAAAAGTAGCTTCAAGAAGTCTTAAAAAGTGAAAAAAAGTTAAAATAGGGATTGGAACGTAACATTTTTGATTTGCGCCGGAATCGAACCTTTAACTAAGAGATTACGAGTCTCAACATGGTTGCTTGATGTTGGTTATTCAAACTCTAGCCATCAAAAATAAATAGAATAGATGCTATTAAATTGTTAATGCTATGAGCAAGTTTTTGCAAGTTAGGTTAGAAAAAAAAGAGATATGTAATCTAATACACGAGGATCTAGTTGATTTCTGTAAAAAAAAAACCGTTTTTATTCTGTAAAAAATTTCTTTATTTCTATGTAATAAGCGCTCTAGAGAAAATCTAGATTTCCTGAAAAAAATTTCGTTATTTCTAAATAATGAGCGCCCTAGAGAAAATCTAGATTTGAATCTCGACTCACAACTTTCAACATATGGTGAAAACTGCACTTTGCAAATACAAGCGGAAAAAGGCCAAAAAGTAGCTATTAAAACAATAACTGTTTTATGAAAAACATAAGTCTTGAAAATTAAAATTGAAACATAGCCAATCGCAGATTGGAAAAGAGTAATGAACGCAAGTAAATAGAAAAACACTGACTTAGTTGAAACAATCTCAAAGTTCGAAAAAAGATGCCTCATATACATTAACAGTTTCATATAGATGCCTCAGAAAGTTTCACATACTTTAACAAGTTCTGGGAAGAAATTTATCAATAAAAATTCACACAAAGAGGCATAGATGCATTTCGCAAACAAGCGGGAAAACAGCAAAAAGTAGCTTCAAGAAGTCTTAAAAAGTGAAAAAAAAGTTAAAATAGGGATTGGAACGTTAGTTATTTTATTTGTGCAGGAAGCGAACCTTTGACTAGGAGATTACGAGTCTCAACAAGGTTGTTTGACGCTGGTTACTTCAACTCTATCCGTAAAAAAAATTAAATAGAACAGATGCTATTAAATTCTTAATGCTATGAGCAAGATTTTGCGAGTTAGGTTAGCAATAAAGAGATTCGTAATTTAACACACGGGTTTCTAAATGACTACTGTAAAAAATATATCAGGTTTTACTCTGTAATAAATTTCTTTATTTCTATATAATGAGCGCCCTAGAGAAAATCCAGATTTCAATCTCGGCTCACAAGTTTCAACATATGGTCAAAACTGCACTTCGCAAAGACGAGCGGAAAAGTCAAAAAAGTAGCTCTTAAAACAATAACTACTTTACAAAAACATAAATTTTGAAAATGAAACTTGAAACAAAGCCAATCGAAGATTGCAAAAGAGTAATGAACGCAAGTAAACAAAAAAACACTGACTTCGAAAAAAAATCTCAAATTTCAAAAAAAGAGATTCCTCTTAAGCTCTTTGAATTTCAAGAACAATTCATGATCGGCGCTGTTTTGATAGCATTAATCCAACTTAAAAAAATTGAATCAACAGGTATGTTTTTTCTTCTGCTGGAAACCTGAAAATCAAATTCAATTTTCGAAACACGTTTTTTCGCGCCATTTTCACTTTTGTATTTGGAGAGTGCTATTTACGTCACTTTCATCAGATGAATTTAAATTAACTCAAAAAGTGCATATATACCTAATTGCATTCATAAATGCATCAATATGGATGAATTCGCATCTAGTTATTAGTTCATTTGAAGACTTTTTCCTGAATAAAAAAAGCAAAACAAAAATCACGACGATCTATATAAGAGTCTTCACTACGTTTATGAATCCTAAATCAGAGGTTGTTCGGCGAACTCTTCTTGGGCCCAATTAGTTCTTTTCAAATTAATTTGAAATGTATATTTGAACGCGGCGGCAAATAGCTGATTTTGTTTTGCTCAAGAAAGTGGAGCTGACGCGTTGAGAATGAGAGCTAAGTGCATCATATCCCGGATAACAATGAATCAAAATTATTATTTGCTAAGCTTTGCACAAAAATGTAACACTCGTGTCGAAAAAAAATGGACTGACCGTAATAACATTGGGCGTGCAAGCTTTCGATTGAAACTTTATTATGCTTGAAACGAGTTGTGTCCAAGAGCGCGTTGTTATTCGAAAATTAAATGACACAATCCTTTAGACAGATGCGAAGCTGAATTTCGCATAGAGGAGCAAAACACACTGTCTGCGCCAAAGACAGACGACTGGTAAGGCACCGAATAACTTCTTTCCTCGCCCAAAAGGCATCTACGGCTGATCTTTAAATAAGTCAACCAAAAATGAGACATGGAAGGTCGCTTTTTAAACAGAATTTAACGGCCATTTACTTTTTCCTTCACATTATGGCTACTCACTTGAAAGGTCCGGCGAAAAGCAGATAGAGGATATTAATTAAATTGAAGACCTAGCATTAACCATTTATATAATCATTTACATAGTTTAATTTGGAATTATCGAACAAAAAGCGCATCGAATTCACAACTAGTCGTAGCACACAAATGGAATCGATGACACAATTAATATCAAAAAAGGCTGCTGCGAAATCCGTTAATTTATCATTAATCCTAGCTTGACTCGTTTAATTTCAAACAGATTCGATGCAGTCTACAGTATTTACTTAACATATTTCAATTAACATTTCAATTTTGTTCTCCGTTGTCAAATTTTAATGATACAGTGATGTAAAGTTCATTGTTTTCAGATTGAGTCAGTTGTCTATTTCTGGCTTAGTTTGACACACTTTGTTACCACAGTTTGGTTTTGGCATTGGCATGTTTTGGTTCACTCCTCGAGTGGGTTCTCGATGATATGTTTGAATGTGAAAGGCATGAATAAATGTCCGTCTCCGTGGTAGAATTTAGACTGGAACTCCACCCTAAACACAGAAGTTTACAAAAACACTTCCATGCTTGATCAATGTATCTCAAAATCTTACGTACAAATTTTCACAAAAAAGTTTCGAATGTTAACGACTTATAACATCCATAACATAGCCAATCGAAGACTGGAAAAGAGTAATGAACGCAAAAAAAAACACGTAAAAACTTAAGCAAGGAAGCAGAAAAAAAAACTGATTTTCTTTTTGCAAAAGCTTTACTTTTCGAACTTTTTCATGAAATTAACAATTTGAGACACAGAGGCGAAGTTGCACTTCGCATACACAAGCAAAAATATGACCGATAACGCTAATGGGAAAAACTGAATGAGTACAACTTTGAGTCTACAAAATTTCTTAAGTGACGCACGCCAAATATGAGTCCACATAATTGCTAAGTGACGCAAGCCAATTATTACGCGTTAGCAGTACCAATCAATTTGAAAAAAAAAAGAAATTTACCACTTACATGCCTCAATTTATAGAGCGGACGAATTTTAAGTAGTATACGAAAAATTTCATTAAAAACATCCGACCCTGCACAGGTTCGAACCCTCTTAATTTGCTGCTGGTCTCCTTCCCCTACGCTACAGATCCACGATGCCTTGAAGCTAAAGTGCTATTTGTAATATAATAGTTAATATCCTTAGCATTGACTGTACTTAATAGCTGGATCAAAATGAACACTTTCAAAATGAACACTTTTTGTCGCAACAAATGCATAGAAAACAATATTTGCAACTTAGGTTGGAAAAAACAAGAAGTGCATCAATATTTTAAGACAAAAAAAACAAAAAAAATCAGCAAGACTTATATAAGAGTCTTCACTACGTTCATTACTCTTAATTGTCGGTTTTATATCAACTAAACAGCTGTGTAACCGTGACTAAATTTGAAAGAAATTGACAGATCAGACATTTCATAATATAAAATATTACATGCAATAAATAATTGCATGCAATAAAATATAAAGGGAAAGTCTACACTGCTAACGATGAGGTAGATTGAACAAAAAGACAAAACCCTCTTCGTGGGCACAACGGCAAGAAAAATAGCCAACAAGCAGCTGTAAAAGAGATAATGACCTCAAGGTAACCGAAAAAAAGCTTATTTTATAATTTTTTTATCGTTTCTTGGTTTCAAATTGAAAAATGTATCAATTTAAAGCTCTTTGGGTTTCAACTTGCTAAATTTATGATAGACACTTTATTGATAAACAAACAGCCCATTTAGAGAAAACGTAAATGGACCTACAGATAATATTTTATTCCACTGCGAAATCTTTAAGTTAAGCCCACTTCTGAATATCAACGTCACTCGCGTTTTTTGCGCCATTTGTGTTTTCGTTATTGGAGAGCGTAATTTTCGTTCTTTTCCGCAAATTAATTTGAACTGAAATTGAAAAGAAGTCAGAAATCAACTCAAAACAATTAAGAAATCAAACAAAAATTGGAAATACACGAATTGAAGTGAAAACTCACTCAGTCCATTTACACTTGCAAAAATTGTAAGTGATAGACTGCTTACCAATGCAGTCGTAGCGCGTGCAAGAAAGCCGACAATCCTTCCATCAGCAACAGAATCGCCACAGTCAAACAAGCCCAAGCTGCAAAAACAGGTACAACAATAACACATCCAACCAGACCTCGCGTTCCATTCAGACCCTGGACCATCACCATGCTCCACAGCACCTCCGAGAGCTCGGCATGTGCGAGGGAGAGTGCCCACAGTCGGAGGTAGGAGGCGGTGTGCGAGATACATCCGAGACAGAACTCGATGGTGTGGATGGCTTGCAGGATCATGATCTGACCGAAGTCGAACTGAAACATAACATTGCCCAATAGAAAGGATAGGTAACTTAAAAAAGTGGCACAGTCTCTCGTATACGAAGTGTTATAATAGTAATGAGAAAATCATGATTTTTTATAGCTTTCCGACCATAACTTGAAGAAATCTTTGATTTCAATGCTTCCTGCTAAATAAATTTTGTATAATAGATTATTTTTCCATGGGCGTCGCTTTAGCAGCTTTATATATGCACTGAAACCTCTTCCTCGTCTGGTCGATGACTAATGTCGCCATTACTGCTCGACAATAGTGGAGCATTTAATTCATCATCTTCATCCCCGTGATCAATTCTTCCATTGTTCACACTGATTTCGAGTCCCTCTTCATCTGAACTGCTTTCCAGTGCCAATGAAGTATACATTTGACCTGATTTATTCTTGGAGTCTCTCTTCTTATTTGTAAACTGCACCTCTGCTTGTGCGTCATCCTTCTGCGCCAGGGCTGTATAGTTGACCTTTGCTGCTCTTTTGCCACTGAGAGATCTCTGAAGAAAATCAAAGAGGTTGGGGTTAGTTTAAAAACAAGGGGTGCTCACCTCATCGTCATCATGACCATGAGAACCCCCTTTTTGAGCTGCCCCTATTGACTGGGGTTGGGCTTCGGAATCTATGACGTGGGGTTCCTGGGAGGACTGTTCGGCCAGCTCGTCATGCGAGATGAGGCCCTGCGCACCCTCCGCGTCCTCGTCAGCATTACTCAAGTTTTTGAAAGAGAGGCCCTGCCAACATACAGAGTCCGTCTCATCTCAAAACAATTAACTCTTATCCAACCCAGAAAATGACACCAAGGAGTTAAGGCAGACGTGCTTTAGTCACCACTCATGAATTGACTCCTTTTCTGGTATCTTACTAAATCTGTGTTTTTAAAATCAATTATCATGCATGTCTTTCTGGTTATGGCGATTCAACCGAAATAAAAAATTTTCAAAAAGTAAAGTCTCAAAAATCGCTTAGAAAAACTGCTCGAAATCTGACACTAAAAATGAAAAGTGTAAAATTTTTCCAATAAAATCATGTTGAATTTTAGAGCTATCCGGAAATACAATATCTTTCTCAGCATGCCAATTGTAGTTTTTTAAAAATAGCATTTTACGACAAAAATTGACTCCCCTTGGTTCATTATTTTGGACTCATTGGCACATAAGTTATGTATACAGGTGTCTCAGTTATGTATACAGTTATGTATACAAGTGGTGACAGAAAATTTGGGTTTTCAGACAGTTTGGGTTACTGTGCCCCAGACCAAGAACATTCAATGGGATAACATCAACAATCTTATTTCAGATTTTTTAAATTGTTTTTATTTTTTTTTTTCGGTTTAGATAAACTATTTCTAGATACAACGTTCTAAGGGGAGCTTTAACTGGTTAAACTATCTTTCAATAGTTCTTTTTCAAGACTAAGTCATTCAGGTTATTTAACTCCTTATGCACTTCTGTCTTTTAGAACTTAACGTTGAACTGAACTTTAGAAATCAAAAGTCAAAACTCGTAAAATCAAATTTGAGAGCAAACGAATTTTATTTAAATTTCCCGAAAACAGATAAAACCACGTCCTGAAAATCTTCGCTTCTTTCATTTACACTTCAAAATGCTGAAGGATCAACGTGCCGAGCTATATGATTGCTAAAATGCTTTAACAAAAATTTTCGTTATCTTGAACAAAATGATAATTTACGGCAAAAATTAGACACAGAGGCGAAGCTGAGCTTCGCACGACTTGCGATACAACTTTGATTAAAATCAAAACAAAAAATTTGAAAAAAGAAATCACAAAATCGTTTTTGTCAATAAAAAATTGTCAATAAAAAAGCGGTCTTAAGCAGTTCTGTCCCCTCTACGGCAGAAGGGCCGGATGCTTGATTGAAGTTGAATTTATAATTACCATGTGGTAACAAAGCCGAAAATACCTGAGCAAAAACCTTTCATGGTGAAAAAATCAAAAAATATCTAAGCTAATAAAAATAATTTATGTCCCTTTTCCCCTCAGAGCACACACACGCACATATTTTTTTTAGATCCCCGAACGACCCAATAAGAGGCCACTAGATTGAAATTTAAAAAAAAAACGAAACTTATTAACCAGATAAAAAATCTAAGCTAATAAAAATAATTTTTGTACCTATTCCCCTCAGAGCACACCCACGCATATAATTTTTTTAGATCACCGAACGACGCAATAAGAGGCCACAAGATTGAAGTTTAAAAAAACCGAAACTTGTTAACCCGATAAAAAAGACAAAAATGAAAAAAAATGTTGGCAAATCGAGTTGGTAAAATTACAACCTGTATAAGAAACAAATTTCGATTCCACCAAACATAAGCTGACAAAAAATATACCGAATTTTTTTGAACCGGAATAGTTACCGTTTAAAAAACAGGTCCTAGTCAGATTCGAACCCACGACCTTTGGCGTCCCATTCGTATTCGTTACCTCGACGCTAAGTGTGTAGGAGACAAAAAGAAATAAGAATTCATTATGAACCAAGGTACCACGAATCCAGATGAGTCCTGTGGACAAAGTTGTTTACGGAAAAAAGTCTAGTACCCGATTGCAATACCCTTGCTTATCGCAAGGGTAAACAGTTAGCGTCCAACTCTAGCTCGAAACTCCAACTACTACTATATCCTCCACTACCATTTACAAAACTTATGTCTATGGTAAGCTAAAGTGAAGGTTAAGCCGCAACACGGACATGCCTTAGCGGAGGAAGAACTCGATAGAAAATTCGTTACTAGCGGCAATGTCTCAGCACGTGAAAAAATACAGCCAATTAAGTCAACGAACGCTATTATTTTCGGTAACGTGGCACGCTTGTATCCCACGATTGGTACGAGCGAAACGTTGCAATTACGGCAACAGCAAAAACAGAAAAGCGATGTTTCACAAAGAAATTAAAACGCGGTTTGAACCATGGGAAAAGACGTATCGTATCAATGAAGAAGTTCGAGAAGAAACTAAAAAAAATGTAGCCTCATGGATAGAAACAGTACGGGTTAGAGCTAAAAAAAAATCTTTTTCGCAACAAGAAACAAGAACGAGAGCCATTGATTTTGATCACATAAAATAACACCGACACAACAGTTGCTTGCACAAACAAGAGAAGGGTGGGTAATACTTTACACAGGAAAAAAGCCAAAGACAAACTGTAAATGACAGAGGCCAAAGCCTTGTTCATCAATAAAACGGTTGATAGCACAAATTTTGTCATTTAGGTTCACAGAATGGAAAAAAAAGTGGGCGTTCTTGGTAAAAACGGATATGAATTAATAATTATAATAACAAAAATAATGATAATAAATTTCTTCAGTGCATTACCTTATATGTATAATTTACCTTTATATAACAATTTTATTTGCTGAATGTTGTAACAAAAAATTTTAATTGACTGCTCAATTTATGGTTTTATAAGCCCTACATTTTTTGTTCAAGCCAAAAAATTAACACAGAGGCGAAGTTGCACTTCGCATACTCAAGCAAAAACATGACCGATAACTCTACAGGGAAAAACTGAATGAGTAAAACTGGACTCATTGGCACATAAGTTATGTATACAGGTGTCTCAGTTATGTATACAGTTATGTATACAAGTGGTGACAGAAAATTTGGGTTTTCAGACAGTTTGGGTTACTGTGCCCCAGACCAAGAACATTCAATGGGATAACATCAACAATCTTATTTCAGATTTTTTAAATTGTTTTTATTTTTTTTTCGGTTTAGATAAACTATTTCTAGATACAACGTTCTAAGGGGAGCTTTAACTGGTTAAACTATCTTTCAATAGTTCTTTTTCAAGACTAAGTCATTCAGGTTATTTAACTCCTTATGCACTTCTGTCTTTTAGAACTTAACGTTGAACTGAACTTTAGAAATCAAAAGTCAAAACTCGTAAAATCAAATTTGAGAGCAAACGAATTTTATTTAAATTTCCCGAAAACAGATAAAACCACGTCCTGAAAATCTTCGCTTCTTTCATTTACACTTCAAAATGCTGAAGGATCAACGTGCCGAGCTATATGATTGCTAAAATGCTTTAACAAAAATTTTCGTTATCTTGAACAAAATGATAATTTACGGCAAAAATTAGACACAGAGGCGAAGCTGAGCTTCGCACGACTTGCGATACAACTTTGATTAAAATCAAAACAAAAAATTTGAAAAACGAAATCACAAAATCGTTTTTGTCAATAAAAAATTGTCAATAAAAAAGCGGTTTTAAGCAGTTCTGTCCCCTCTACGGCAGAAGGGCCGGATGCTTGATTGAAGTTGAATTTATAATTACCATGTGGTAACAAAGCCGAAAATACCTGAGCAAAAACCTTTCATGGTGAAAAAATCAAAAAATATCTAAGCTAATAAAAATAATTTATGTCCCTTTTCCCCTCAGAGCACACACACGCACATATTTTTTTTAGATCCCCGAACGACCCAATAAGAGGCCACTAGATTGAAATTTAAAAAAAAAACGAAACTTATTAACCAGATAAAAAATCTAAGCTAATAAAAATAATTTTTGTACCTATTCCCCTCAGAGCACACCCAGGCATATAATTTTTTTAGATCACCGAACGACGCAATAAGAGGCCACAAGATTGAAGTTTAAAAAACCGAAACTTGTTAACCCGATAAAAAAGACAAAAATGAAAAAAAAATGTTGGCAAATCGAGTTGGTAAAATTACAACCTGTATAAAAAACAAATTTCGATTCCACCAAACATAAGCTGACAAAAAATATACCGAATTTTTTTGAACCGGAATAGTTACCGTTTAAAAAACAGGTCCTAGTCAGATTCAAACCCACGACCTTTGGCGTCCCATTCGTATTCGTTACCTCGACGCTAAGTGTGTAGGAGACAAAAAGAAATAAGAATTCATTATGAACCAAGGTACCACGAATCCAGATGAGTCCTGTGGACAAAGTTGTTTACGGAAAAAAGTCTAGTACCCGATTGCAATACCCTTGCTTATCGCAAGGGTAAACAGTTAGCGTCCAACTCTAGCTCGAAACTCCAACTACTACTATATCCTCCACTACCATTTACAAAACTTATGTCTATGGTAAGCTAAAGTGAAGGTTAAGCCGCAACACGGACATGCCTTAGCGGAGGAAGAACTCGATAGAAAATTCGTTACTAGCGGCAATGTCTCAGCACGTGAAAAAATACAGCCAATTAAGTCAACGAACGCTATTATTTTCGGTAACGTGGCACGCTTGTATCCCACGATTGGTACGAGCGAAACGTTGCAATTAGGGCAACAGCAAAAACAGAAAAGCGATGTTTCACAAAGAAATTAAAACGCGGTTTGAACCATGGGAAAAGACGTATCGTATCAATGAAGAAGTTCGAGAAGAAACTAAAAAAAATGTAGCCTCATGGATAGAAACAGTACGGGTTAGAGCTAAAAAAAAATCTTTTTCGCAACAAGAAACAAGAACGAGAGCCATTGATTTTGATCACATAAAATAACACCGACACAACAGTTGCTTGCACAAACAAGAGAAGGGTGGGTAATACTTTACACAGGAAAAAAGCCAAAGACAAACTGTAAATAACAGAGGCCAAAGCCTTGTTCATCAATAAAACGGTTGATAGCACAAATTTTGTCATTTAGGTTCACAGAATGGAAAAAAAAGTGGGCGTTCTTGGTAAAAACGGATATGAATTAATAATTATAATAACAAAAATAATGATAATAAATTTCTTCAGTGCATTACCTTATATGTATAATTTACCTTTATATAACAATTTTATTTGCTGAATGTTGTAACAAAAAATTTTAATTGACTGCTCAATTTATGGTTTTATAAGCCCTACATTTTTTGTTCAAGCCAAAAAATTAACACAGAGGCGAAGTTGCACTTCGCATACTCAAGCAAAAACATGACCGATAACTCTACAGGGAAAAACTGAATGAGTAAAACTTGGAGTTTTCAAACTTTCTTAAGTGACGCACGCCAATTATGACGCATTAGCAGTACCAGTCAATTTCAAAAAAAATTTACCAACTAACAAGCCTCAATTTATAGAGCAGTCTATGGAGCAGTAATAACATGAAAAAATTTTAAAAAAAATGAAAAATGATTTTTTTTTATTTGAGATTTTTTGTGAAAATCATCCCCCTACACGCCATATTAAGTACCGAGTGATACATTTCGCTCCAAGTAACAAATCAATAACGGCAAATAAGCTTCCTTCAATCAATTTGGAACGATTTCTACGACGGATTAAATCTCCGCTTACGCGTTAATAGCGCGAAATATATCGCGCGTTAATTGTCCCAAATTGGCCAAAATGGCCTTTTTTTTGAACTCCCATAACTTGACGAAAAATGATTACAGGGGAAATATCTTTCCAGATCTAATCTCAGGCCAACAATAATTTTTCAAGGATATAAAAAAAATCCCGTCAAAAATGGCTAGTTAAAAAGTCGAAATTTGTCTGAAGAAAAAAAATTACCCCGAGCACAAATACTCCGTTACTTTCGTTACGAAAGTCGGAACAAAAAAAACCTGATTTAAAATCCTAAGCATTGGCTGTACTTAATAGCTAGTTTTTGGATCAAAATGAACACATTTTATCGCAACAATATTTGGAAAAAATGGAAAATGGAAAAAACGATATTTAATACTATAACACAAGCATTGCTTGTGTAATTATCACACAATTAAGATTCTAATAAATAGCAGCTAGACAACAAGTTTCCGGAGCCGGAAAACTGAAAAATCAAGGTTCAACAAAAATAGTCAACAAATTTTCTTAAAACGAACTGTTGGAGCAGCACCGACCTACTTTTTTGCCCGCAAATTTGAATTTTATTATATCCATCTATATCAATTTTTGTTAACCGAGGTTTAGCATACTTGATTGCTTCGTTCATGAACTAATACACTACGCCACTTTCTAAACTAAAAGCTGGGAAAACGTTTTTTGCTGTTTTGCTATCGAAAAGTGAATGCTGAGAAAAAACTTCAAAAACTGCGTTTGAAAACTTTGAAACTGAATTTTTCAAGCTAAACCATCAAAAACAAAAAATGAACACAAACACATAATCTTAGCAAACAGAAATAAATGTCTTTATATTCATCAAAACTTATATCAATAACTTCTCACCAAGAACAAAAATATCAAAACATTGCGTAATAATAGTTGGAAAAGTCTCAATGAACGCATGTAAACAAAAAAATTAAAACTTTCGAATTTCGAAGAAAAACCATCCTAAATTTCTTTGAATTACATGCATTGATGGTAATTGGCATAATTTTCTTTAAGTAAAATGATTTAGAGAAAACTGGTTCGTTAGTGTAACTACACAGGGAGACCAAAAAACAAAAAGAGGCTCGAAGTAGTGTTACTCTAACGCAGGCAACAGAAACAATTTCTAAATAGTGTTTTCAATTAATTAGTGCAAAATAAACATACACATAGACGAAGCTGCTGTACAGCAAAGTTTTGATCTCCTTGATTTGAAAGAGAAAAGCTGCAGTGAACGAACAGTTTGCTCAGCGAAAAAAATCCTACTGCTCGTAACTCAATACAGCTCAAAAAAACTTAAGTAATGGAGCTTCAGATACGTCAAAAAGATAAATACAAAAAAAGATAAATACAAAAATCGATTTGAAAATAAAAAAACTGATACTACGCACCCGGATTTCGAACCAACAGTCACCATTGTTCACCCTTCAATAAACTACTTTCGCGTTAATTTTATTCTTAGGGATCAGTAGCAGAATAACGCATAAACTTCGCGCAATCCGTGCACTAAATTATGCCGCTTCCGTTAAAACAAGTGCACTGATCATATAATACTACGCTCACTTAGGTACGAAAAAAATCTTGATTGCCGTTTACAACATCCAGGAATTGATTCGCAAAATATCTCGACAAAGAACAGTTTGAATATACCTTTGAGAAAAAGCACTTTGAATAAGCATTTTCAGTTTTTTTTAATTGACACAATTCCATAAAACAGATGGAACAATGACGGTAAATCTAGAAAAGATATCATTAGTTTATCAATTATATTAACTATTAACACGAATAATTAGTCATTAATCATGACACCAGAACGTGAACAGAACTGAGGAGAGATAAAAGAAAGATATGACTCACGCTGACCAATCGGGTGTTTCGTCGCTGTTTAAACCAAAGAAAGAGAGAACTTACACACTATTTTCCAATTAAAATTAATGAATAAAAGGTATAAATGGGAAAAACACATGTTTTAGATTTTCATGCTGAATATCTGGTAATAATATGCTATCAATTTCATCGAGAATGTTGATTCCTAACGAGGTATTTAAAACTTTGAACCCATTTGTAATATCACAGAAAGATGTTGGATACCAGATATATCTATCGTTTTAATGCTAGAATAACCAGCCGAATTAGCTTTAAGCCCATAAAACATCTGAGTAAATATAAAAAAAACAGCATTGATTAGCATTGAACAATTTTTTTTAAAAGACCGTGCAGTTTTAATTTTACTAAGACCGTGCAGTTTTAATTTTACTAAATTTATATAAAATTATTACACTATTGTATCTTTCCTAATTTCATTTTCGATTTTCTTTTTTGCGTTTAAATTTTTATGGAACTTCACATTTCCTAATTTTGTGCTAAAATATTAAAGCAAGTTAAATAGATGATTTTTTAAAAATTACTGCGTACTATTCAAGAAACATAGCCAACATACATTTAGAAAAGAGAGTCAATGAACTAAGTAAACAGAACAAAAATCATTACTAATTTTTGAAAAAGTGTCAGAGCACACTAAAAGCCTGCAGATCTGGTTTGAAAAAGTGTCAGAGCACACTAAAAGCCTGCAGATCTGTCAGAGCACACTAAAAGCCTGCAGATCTGGTTTCCAATATATGTGGTTTTTCGTGAGTTGTCAAAAATTCGAAGACCCGAAGGTGCGTTACACGCTAGTTGTTCTTGAAGTTTTTGCTTTAAAATTTGAAAGTTCACACTTTCAAATTTTAAAGCAAAAACTTCAAGAACAACTAGCGTGTAACGCACCTTCGGGTCTTCGAATTTTTGACAACTCACGAAAAACCACATATATTGGAAACCAGATCTGCAGGCTTTTAGTGTGCTCTGACAGCACCCAATTACAAGGTTGGTAATTTCAAATTTTATAAGCTTTTTTAATTCCAACTTTCAGTCAAATCCCGAAAACGTCAAATCTCGAGAACTACAAATATTCGAGTGGTCATATTTGGAGGCAAGGTTCGCAACCCCTGAGAGTACCCTGACAGCATCCAACTACAGGGTAGAGAATTTCGAAATTTGAAGAAAAAATTAATTCAAGTTTTTTGAAAAATTTTGAAAAAAAATCACAAAAAACGCTGTATCTCGAAAACAACACGGATTAGAGCAGTCATAATTGGAGGCAAGGTTCGCAACCCCTGAGAGTACTCTGATAGCCCCCAACTACAGGGTAGAAAATTTCAAAATTTGAAGAAAAAAAATTAATTCAAGTTTCCTGAAAATTTTTTGAAAAATCACATAAAACGTCATATCTCGAAATATACAAGGATTAGAGCAGTCATAATTGGAGGCAAGGTTCGCAACCCCTGAGAGTACTCTGATAGCCCCCAACTACAGGGTTGAGAAATTCAAAATTTGAAGAAAAAATTTAATTCAAGTTTCCTGAAATTTTTTTGAAAAATCACAAAAAACGTCATATCTCAAAAACTACAAGGATTTGAGCAGTCATAATTGGAGGCAAGGTTCGCAACCCCTGAGAGTACTCTGATAGCCCCCCAACTACAGGGTAGAAAATTTCAAAGTTTGAAGAAAAAAAATTAATTCAAGTTTCCTGAAAATTTTTTGAAAAATCACATAAAACGTCATATCTCGAAAACTACAAGGATTTGAGCCGTCACATTTGGAGACAAGATTCACAATCCTTGAGCGTGCTCTGACAGCACCCAACTACAGAGCTGGGAATTTCAAGTTTTGTAAATTATTTTGTAATTCGTGTTTGAAAAAATTTTGAAAAAAATCACATAAATCGTTGTATCTCGTACACTAAAAGGATTTGAGCATCCTTAATTGGAGGCCAAATTCGCAACCTCTTGGGAAATCCCGACAGCGTCACACTATTGGGCTGCTTATTTTACACTTAACACTCGGTGGAATAACCACTGAATTCAAACAGGAACATCGAAAAAAAATCTTAAGCATTGCAACATACGATATAGCTTAAACATGCAAAAATAATACGTTGAAAAGGCTTAAATATGGCGAGATAGTGAAGCCCGCATTTAAATATATAATAGATAATAGATTTATGGCTGACACTTTTTTTGATAAAATTATTCCAATATGAATAAACTGGGTCAAAAGGCAACGTTTAAATTCCGCTGGAAATCTAAGAATTAAATTCCTCTTTCGAAACTAGAAACTGTTCACAATTTTTTGCGCCATTTCTATGTTCATATTTACGTAACTTTCAGCAGATGAATCTCAATTGAACTCAAAAGTACATTTATACCTAAGTGCATTCATAAATGCATTAATGTTTGACTGCACATCTGTAGTTATTAGAGCATTTGAAGACTTTTTCCTAAAAAAACACCAAGACCTATATAAGAGTCTTCACTATGTTCATTACTTTTTAAAAAGAAAACTAAGCAATTGGAGAGCAAGCTGAAAAGTTAGACAAGCCAATTAGACGATCTTCATCTAGCTGCATTTGGTCGATCGAATAAACTCATATCAAACATGCTATTAAAAAACATAAAACGAGGTTTTAGAAATAGACAACGAAATAAGACTAGATTAATTGAGATGAATTAGCTGATCAAAGTAATGAAACATGCCTTGAATAAAAACAAAAAAAAACCTTGAATAATAAAACTTATGCTACGTGTCAGACTCAATCCTCCGACCAGAAAACTTGGAATCTCGTGTTTTCGTACCTGCGCCGATAGTTAACACTAGCCACTAATAATGCAGCTACAGATGCTGATAAACTCAATTTATGCAACAAAAACAGTTTCCTAAGTGCAGCATTGAAACTCCGCCCCGTAAATTCATGTCATTCTAACTATGCCACAAGCTAAACAATCAGCCCCAGACAATCAGCACTAAACCTCAGTCGCTGTCACTAAACAATCAGCGCTAAACCTCCGCCCAGAGTCTCACGTTATTCCAACTATGCCTAAACAAACAGCAACAAAAGCAGAGAACAGATGCTATGAAATGTCTAATGTAGCAAAAAAGTCATCAACTCTTTTATTTGTGAATTTCACATATTGCAAATTGGAAAAAAGTAAATTAATTATTAAACAACGCTCGCTGGCTTGCATGTGTAAAAAAAGGAACTTATCATAAGCGCTAGCTGTATACAAAAAATTGAAACGGTCTCATGAAAAGAACGTTACCTGAGTAAAAAAACAACGCCATAAAAAAGTTTTCCATCCTCTTGAAACATCAACCGTTGACTCTTTCTGAAAAAGCAAAATTAATTTAAAAAATGATTAACCAATTATTTTGAACTTAAAAGCTTATCGATCATAACACAACAATCATATTAGAGCAATTTTGTTTCAAACCAATTGTGTCTTTTTAAAACCCCCTTTATTATGAAAAACGATACAGAAAAATTTTCCACAGAGGCGAAGCAGAGCTTCGCGCCACTCTTGATACAATTCAAACATAGCATTAAAAAAATGAGAAACAAAAAAAGTTTAGGTCCCTCCCGTTACGCAAACACACACATTATTCGCTCATACGACGCAATTTAGGGCCACAAAGCCGATATAATTTAGGCAAAAACCTTTGAAGCTAATTCAATTAAAGAAAAACGATAAACGAAATTTCAATAAATCGAAGTTGGTATATTTACGACCAAATAAGGCACTTTTTTAATACAACAGATTTTTAAATTGCAGATATGCTCCGAGTAAGTTTGTTGATTTACAAAAGTACGAAAAAAAAATTGGAAAAACAACTAAAATTGGATATCATGTGGCCGAAGTAAGTCATGGAAAAACAGATTCTAAGTTACCGTGCATTTTCTGATTGCCACAATTTTTCATCTAAAAAATGATAATTGAAAAAATTGGATCATTAGATAATTATATATTCTGCTGCAAATCAAAAAACTGAAATCACCTTTTCAAACAGATCCTATTTGTCGCGCCACTTGCCCACTATTAGTGAGCGTATATTGCCCTCCTTTCAACACTGGAAAATCTACGTTCATGACTTAGATTTCACTCGTTTTTTAATTCACTTCATTAATTAACTCTTCATTGCGATGAGCTAACACGCGAGCCTACACAAAATGCTCAAACTTATGTTATTAAACAAAAAGGCCAAGCTGCACTTCGCGAGCAAAAGCGATAACACCGTGAAAGTAGCTCTAAAATAATTAGTGTGAATAAATGAAGAAAGTGTAAAAATAAGAAAAACACTTTGCCGGAACCGAACCACAACCTGGAAATCAAAAGCCTCACGCTCTCGCATCTGCGCCACGGTAGCTTAGTTCTATACAAACAAAAAGGTAAGAAAACAGCTTCAGTTGCTATTAAATTGTAATTTAAGCAGAAAATTGCCACTAAAAAAAATAAAACTATTGCTGTGCCGTAAAAAAATATCTCCGACCTAGAAATTAGGAGCTTCATGTTCTCGCATCTGCGCCACGGTTGCTTGGACATACACTAACACTAGGCAGGAAAAAAGCAGGTACAGATGCGCTCAAATTATCGATGCCTAAAGAGCACTTTTATTTGTGAGTAACGTTGGAAAATTGTACAAGCTCTGCTTTTGTAAAATTTTACAAATTAGGAAATCATCTTTTAAAATTCCTAATGGTGCAAGTAATTTAATTCCACAACTCAGTTTGTATAGTTTTTAAATTCTTTTTGCGAAAGTTTTTTCTATAAAACAAAAAGTGAAATTAAATTACATAGACCGAGAGCAAATGAGAGAAAATGAAATTGACCGAGAGCAAATGAATCAGACCGAGAGCAAATGAAATTTTTACATAGACCGAGAGCAAATCATCAGAGCTATCATCTATGAAACTATCAAGATTTGGTTTGAAAGGTTTACCAATGGAATCCGGGTATAAAATGCCAGATTTCTTCATCCGCACTAAGTTTTGCATCGTAGTGAAACTTTTCATGAGTAAAAAAATTTGTTCGTGCAACCTCTCTCAGCGAGAAAATTGAAATCATCATTGTGGAAATTTTATTTAACTCGGCTGTTTCTTACTTTTTTGAGCGAAGTGAAAAATTTAGTGCAGAAGAGGAAATATGGCATTTGCAGACCTGAATTAACTTGGTAAGTCATTGAAACCAATTACTGATAGTTTTAGAGGGTAGCTCTGATCATTTGCTCTTGGTCTATGTAAAAATTTACTGAACTTCGAAAGAAATATTGTCCAAAATGGGTACTGAGAAGAAAACAGGCACTTTAGAGAGCTTAATTTTGTCCACTAGTGATTCCTGAAAAAAAAACGATCTAGATATCTGAAAACTCACTTCATTCAATACTGCTTAACTTTTATTTAATTTTAAGCTAGTATTGAACGAAGTGAATTCTCAGATATCTAGATCGTTTTTTTTCAGGAATCACTAGTGGACAAAATTAAGCTCTCTAAACTTTTATTTAATTCTGAACACAGAGGCAAAGCTGCGCTTCGCAAGCACGTGCGAGAACACGATCAAAAAGCAGCTCTATCAAGTGACAAACGAAAAAGTAGAAACAAGCCTCGAATTTGCAAAAACTCGCGGCGTAGCAAAAACTCAAATTAGCAAAAATCTGCGACCTAGCAAACTTGAGTCTCACGCACTAACCATTCAGCCACGGATGCTTAAAATCCCCAAAAACTATCCAACAAAAATGCAGCTACATATGCTAATAAATTGCCAATTCGATGCAGCAAAGGTAGCATCAAATACAAAAAGATTCAATTTTGGATTTAAAAAATCGTAAATCATAAAGCCACATTATGAATAAATTAGGCATTTCAAAAAATTGCAAGATATATTGAGTTAGAAAATTTCTGAAATCGAGATTTTTTTTTATTGTTATGTTGTTTGAAACAAATAGCTTTCTTCGGTTCACTTGATGAATTAAGAATGCATCAACTGTGTAAACTTATAACTATTCGAATGTCAAAGCACATACTATCAATCAGCTGTAAAGGTGCAACTAAATATCAACGGTGCAACAAAATATCAAAACATCTTATTGCCAATTCGATGGAGCAAACATTGTTCCTTTAAGTCCCAACAATAATTGCGACTTAGTCGCAACAATATCTGCGACTTAGGTTGGGGAAAAAAGAAAGTTCGTACTATAACACATTGCTTCGCAAGTGTAAGCAGCACGCAAATTCTGTTCTTTTTGCACTAAACTGGTAAATTTTGTTGTTATACATCTTAATCGAGTTGAGTTGACAACAACTTTGAACTTACTAAGCCACCACCAATACAAGATCCCAATACGATACTGACTGGCGTTGAATTTCAAAAGCAAAACTCTTGACGCTTAAGTAAGATTAACTACCCCTTTTAGTCAATTCTTTTTCAAAATCATGTAATGTTCAATGATCATCATTTTCAAAATTAGGTTATGATTCAATTTCAAATGTGTTATGTCAACAGCTTCGGTTTTGTTTCAGACTCTTTGTTAAAACATTACTTGTTCCTCAGATGTTTGGAGGGAAGAGAACTCCATTCGAGTACAGAATGAGTTGTCTACCAAATTGGAGCCTTCATCCGAGTGCCTTCTCAAAGTCAACTTTAAAAGCCAACCAGATAATGGCCAAATGTTTTCTCCCTATGATGTAATAATTTTACTTCGATTGGTAACTTCAAACTCGGAAAAATATAATTAATACTGGCAATACTTAAGTTTAAGTTCAATGCTGACGAGGACGACGTACAGGGTGCGATAATTTGCTGACCGGGGTCAAATTTATCATTTGAAAGTGACATTTCTTCAAAATACCTCAATTAAATTCATCTGGGAAATGTGAATCATCCAAAGTCTTTAAGCATTTGAACGATTTTCAAGGTAATAGCCACCGAGGCCTTATCATCTTTATGGGAATCAAATTCGACTCCAAGTAAAGACTCAAGAAATAAAAAATTAAAAGATGCTCGTTGTTCTCTCCGATAACATCTCACAGTATCTAGCAAAAACCAAACCACTCAAACTCACTTTTGAAGCGAAATTTCATTTGGGTTAACTTTTTAGCGCAAACTTTGATTTGAGCCATTATTTGCTTGAAACAATTACTCAAAAGTACACCGAAACCGAACTTACATGTGAAGGGTTCTTGTGCTGGCAATACAACACAGCTGGCTTGAAAAACAGCATCCACGGTACACATAGCAGTCCCACCAAGAGCAGGATAACCTGGACTAGGTGCTGTCCCGAGTAAAGGGCTTTGTCCGGCTGTTTGAGCATGAACATGTTGGTGAATGTGATGAGGAGCTGAGGTGCATCGGGAGACTTGGTGTAGTCGAAGGCCAGCCACTTGAAGAAGATCATAAAAACCAGGTAACCGAACAGACCCCCGAGGAAGATGAACTGAAATGCAATCATAACATTGCACTTATGGTAAAAATCATTTTACAAACTATCGTAGAAAAAAGCTATAAACAATTGTAGCAAACAAATGGTTGAAAAGAAGGAAACAAAAAAATTATTGAAATATGTTCAACTTCCTAAATTCGAAGAAAAAACATAGCCAACAGCACCAGCGGATTTAGGTACTATTTTGAGATATCCATTTTTGGCTGACTTACCCTAAAATTTTTCTAACGGCGCCTTTGGCGCCAAAATATGCTAATTGTGAGGGATCGCAAAATAGGCTACTTCTTGTATTTTTGGAAAGCTCGGAAAATCAAATAGGTCGACCGACAAAAAAGGTCGACAAAATTTTCAAAATATGAAGCCATTAGCATAGCTGCTTAGTGGCCTCACATGGCGTCGTTTGACGACTGAAAAAAGTTTTTGCATGCAAGTGTGTGTGTTATGAGGGTGAAGGAATCAAAATAACTTATAATTAGTCTTGAACGTTTTGATTTTTTTTCGTTTTTTGTTTTGTTTTTCTTTTCTTTTTTTTCCGGCTTTTCGGCCTATGTTATACATATGTTTCAGTTTTTCACATATGTTTTCAGGGTCGAGTGATATATTATAAAATCTTTGGCTATAAACCTTTTCTAAAAAAAATTTAGTACAAAAAGTTAAGAAAACTTCGAAGAAAACTGGTGTCGTTTATAACTAATTCAAAAACTTTTCTACGCGTGTATATAGTTCTTTGCACACCACGCGCAAATAACGACACTAATTTTTAAAAATATGGAAAAACTTATGTTTAAGTTACTTCCATGAACAGGGTCGGATCGGTTTTTGCTACTTACAGAGCCACCGGCTACCCGCGTTCTTAAGTGGTGTTGTATGAGAAGTGTTTTTCAAATATTAAAACTTGAATAGTATTTTTTGACAAAGGAAAATCTGTTTGATGTTCGAGTCACTGAGGGTAGTTAAGACTGTTTTGTAGTTCTTGATTAACTTTTTTAACTGTTTTTTTTAACTGTTTTGTTGTATGAGAAGTCTTTTTCAAATATTATAACTTGAATAGTATTTTTTGACAAAGGAAAATCTGTTTGATGTTCGAGTCACTGAGGGTAGTTAAAACTGTTTTGTAGTTCCTGATTAACTTTTTTAACTGTTTTTTTTTCAGAAATGGTCCCGCTCAAAATAAACTAATTGTGAGGGGAGAGGGCGCACCAAAAAAACGCGATTTTTAGGTCAAAAGTTTCCAAAACAGTGCATAAAAATGCCTTTTTTGGCCTGTTTGTTTCCAAAAACTTGCCTGCCGCTCAGAATACTTCGTTAAAATAGGGTCTTTATTGCGATTTGGGAGGGCTCAGAAAACTAATTTGGTCGACCTAAAAAAAAGGTCGACAAAACTTCGATTCTTTTTTTGAAAATCCCCCCCAGTCCAAAATACGGACTTAACTTCAAAAAATAGCACGCCTTTCGAATTCCCAAGAAAAAAAAGATGGCCTTAATCCTCGTTGAATTTTTGGAACAATTTATTATTGACACTTTTTTATATATAATTCACCCTAATTGAGAAAACTGTATCATTAGGTAAAATTTTAATTACGCTGGAAAACGTGAAAAAGAAAGACCACATTCGCAACTAGAAGTCGATCAAGTTTTCCGGTGACCTTAACACTTTTGCTATTCTATAGAGCAGTTTGTCTTTCTTTTAGCAAAAGAAATGAACTCAACTTAGAAAGAAATGAAAAGCCAAATGACAAAAAAATTAATTTGAGCCTGAACAAATTTTAGTACTTTCCCTGAAAAAATCATCGCGATTACGTTCATCGACTCTTAATGTCTTCAAAAACAAACACTTGTTTTTATTGAGAGCCCTTATTAAACTAAAGATTAAAGTCTCACATCATCCCTTGCCATTGACAAAGCGGATATTGAAGACATGATGTTCAGCACAAGCTATGCAGCAAAATAGAAACACTGTTCATGAACACTTTTATTTGCGATTTCGGTTCGAAAAAAGTTAATTGTTAATTCGTAGTATAACACTACGCTTGCTTGTGTAAACAAAGAATGTGAAGTGAACTAGGAGAAAATCAAAAGTCAAACCGCAAAAAAACTAAACTTGAAGGTGGACAATATTTAAGACACCCTGCGAATTGATAATAAATTTTTCCCAAACAAAACCTCGTTCTCGTACACTTAATAATAAATATAAACTGGTTTAATGGTCCATAGCCTAGTTTCCGACAGTGAGTTCATATAAAGTCACGGGACAACCTTCGTTGATCTTTTTTCAGCTGCTTATGCACTATACAAAGAAAAAACCATATTCAATAACTTTCCAGCGAAATTTCTGCGTCAAAAATATCAAAATCTACTAGAATAGTCCCACAACATCTCTAACTACTTATAATTGACAGGCCAATTAACGTTTAAAAAACATAATTTTTCAAGTTTCTACTGCAGATTTAAATTAACCGGACAAAACGAACAAATTTTGAAAATTCAAACACGTTTTTCTCGAATTGGGTTAAGATTAGACAAAAAGTGAAGATAACAAAAGTTGCTTAGATTTTTATCAGAATTAATATGGGGCCATTTTTTCTACAAAATTCTGAACCAAAACTTTTCCCCAATAATGGGTCATTTTGGTTTTTTTCAATTAATCAAAAATTACGCTAAAACTACTTTAGTAATTGATGAAGAATATATATCACAAGAAGCATCTCACACACCCTAACAAAGTTCTATGGGGTTGTATCTCCAAAAACCTGTATAAGAGAAAATGTTTTTGCTTGATAGTCAAGAAATGAGATTTCTATTATATAAAACCCAAAATTTTGCCTAAAAACAAATTTTAAACAATTTACTCAAACTTTTGGAGATTTAACCTTTCTGAAACGTTGTTGGGGTGTGTAAGAGGCTTCTTGTGATATATATTGTTCATCAATTACTAAAGTAGTTTCAGCGTAATTTTTGATTAATTGAAAAAAGCCAAAATGACCCATTTTTGGGGATTAATTTTGGTTGGGAATTTTGGGGAAAAAATGGCACCATATTAATTCTGATGAAAATCTAAGCAACTTTTGTTCTCTTTGCTTTTTGTCCAATCGTAACCCAATTTGAGAAAAACTTGTTTGAAAATTCTAGTTTTGTTCATTTTGTCCGGATAATTTAAATCAGCACTGTATCCGATACTTTCAAATAATTTCATCAACCATGTGGCGAAACTTCAATCCTATTTTCATTTAGTTGAAAAGAAAACGTCTAACACATGAAATTAATATACTAATTTCATTTATTCTTTTCACAAGGAAAAGTCCCGTTCACACGAAAAAAAACAAGCCATTGCCTCCCCCCAGCGTCTTAAAACCAATACAATTCAGGAGGGAAAAGCCAACTTAATCAGCTAAATTAATCGTGAATTTCGCACCTATACTTAAATTCGCGGGTTAGTTTGCAATCGAATACTGAATTTAACAAGAGAATTGGCTCTATTTTTCTAAACAATTAGATAAGTGACCACAAGATTGACACAGAAGCGGAGCCGAACTTCGCATCATTTGCGATACAACTAGCCAATAGAAAATGAGACAGAAACAACAAAATCGAAAACAAATTTTTTTTTAGGGAAAAAAGAAACATTTTAGAAAAACAGTGGAAAAACAACCACCAGTATTTAATTAGTCAGCTTTGAGTATTTACTGAGTTGCCACTATGCAGACACTCTTTGAGGCAAAAACAAAAAAACGTCGCAAGAAATGGTCATAAAAAACTTCGAAGAGTTAAATCTTTAAATTTTGAAATCTTGTAACATTAACTACCTGAAATTTTAAAAAAAAGTCAATCATTTTTTGCCTTTGAAGCGTCTTAAAATGAAGTAAATAAGCCGATAAATATAAGCCGAAACTATTTTTTGCCTGATAAAACTTTTAAGCGAAAAAAAAACAAAAAGGAAAACCAAGGAAAATATACAAAGTCAGGGCTAATAATTTTAAAATAGCAGGATAAAGTCCAGACCGACGACAAAAAAAAGAAAAATGTTGAAAAACTAGATCACCAAAATCTAGATTTTCGTATGTCTCGTTAGATGTTCATTCAAGGCAAACATGTCAGGCATTTGTATCTTTCATTAGAAAGGAAACAAAACTAAGGAAGAGGAAACAAAGCCGACAATATTTAGCAGACACAGGTTGAGCCGAAATTTTTAAATTGAAATTGAAAATTTTCAAGTCCCCTGAAGCTACATTAAGCAACACTTGCACTAGCAAGTACAATTTAAAGTGGCCTATAGCACAAAAAAGACGTGATGTGTAAGCGAATCCGACAATAATTCAGCAGACACGAGTTGAGCCAAAAAAAGCATTATAAATAAATTAACGTTCCAAGACCCCTCTGAAACTACAATGAACAACACTTGCACTTTCAATTACAATGAAAAAAGCTTACAGCTCAAGCACAATCCGTGATGTGGCAATTGAGCCGAAAAAAAAATAAGCAGAAAAACGAAAGTCCAATAAAAAAGTTTTTAACGGAAAAAATTTTCAATTCATTTTTCTGGAAAAATAGGGTCCGGCCAAGACTCGAACCCAAAACCTTAGGACATAAAGGCAACCGCGTTATTTTTAGGCCAAGTGGGAAGGAATCTCAAAGTTGCTAAGATACACTAATAAAGCTACTTCACAATTTGTTACTAGGTTATATATTGTCTTACCTGTAAGAAAAATTGTTTGTTTACGGGAAAAAGTCTTGTTTCCGAATACAACACACTTGCTCACGTAAGTGTACTCATTAATGAATATCAATTAATCAGTATCATAGTAGTAGGGTATGTACCTGTGGTATGAACTCTCCAATGATGTTGACTGGTTTCTTGAAGTAGGTGTGATTGCAGAGGGAGAGACAGACACCGAACAGCATGTGCATCACTCCCAATATCACACTCAGCTTCATCTTGAATGAGTTCAGGAAGTCCAGCTTATTATCCGCCACCTGCCAGATCTAAAAACACTCATATTGCTTGCGAAGGTGACTACCGGCAAAAACATATCTTTTAATCTTCTCGCAAGTACCTTGGTCATCTTCGTGATCATTATTACACTTAGAAATCCAAACGTAGACAACCACCCTGTGGAGTGGTACAGTGTATTTTAAAAAACCATAAATAAGTGAAGAAATATGGATTTTCCGTTAATCTGTCAGATACCGTTTCTTTTATAGCTTAAAATTCAAATGTCGGTAATTGGAACTTCCCGAGAAAAAAAAGAGTTTCCTTCAAACGCCAATTGCCGAGTCAATCGCTCGATGCCACCAAGTTCAAGTGACGTTGAGCAATCTAGTATTTGCCACGTATTTTCGATGTAACATATTATTGTAGTTACTGGATCAATTCCAAAAGGGTATGGCGATTTGCCCGCGAATGAGTCATTCACTCCCAGCGTCACGATACTGTCTGATTTGCTGTTTTCGTTCTCCAGACCATTTGCGATCCTGCCCGGTATTGCCCACTGAGTTCCGAAGATGTTCATGGACTTGGAGAAAATGTCGTTGTACAGGAGGCCAGTGTAGATGGAGAACAGACCCATGAGCAAGATGAGGTATCGGCCTCCGAAGAACATCAAAAAGATCTAAATCAAGTGCAATTCAATAAGCTCATAAAATTGAATATTCTTGTAATAATTGCACAATTTTCAAGCAAACGCCAACTGTACTGTTCGCATCAAAATATCTTTCCTTCTATTTTGACAGATATAACAGCATAAACTTGTTTTGCACAATGTTGAAATTATTTGCTCGGCTATCCGAAACTTATAACTCATATCTTATATATACAAAATCAGGGACATCGGATCTCTCGTAGAATATCGAGATGCTTGAGTACCTCATTTTTGCTCTTGGCAGCGATGATCTGTTTCTCCTTGACTACTAGTAGCAGAGCAAACAGGGTCATGATGAGTCCATGACCACAGTCCCCGAACATAACAGCGAACAGGAAGGGAAACGAAATCACAGTGAAAGGCACTAAAATAAAGTACAAATGATAACAAATATTTCAGATCAGAACAAGGGCAGCTAGTGGCTCTGCAAAAAGCACATATTGTTTCGACCAATTAATAAACAATTGACATGGGAAATAAGTTGCGAAAAACATTTTTCTAGTTTAAAAACTTAGGCAAAATTGAGCTGAATGTATATTGGATACACAAAAACACGGTTGCTGATCACATAGTACTATGTTACAACCACAACATGACATCAGACTCACTAATCATCAAGTTTGCTTCGAGGTGTGACAAAAAAACCAATACAGACCATATTTCTTCTCACTCTTAGAGTAATAGGAATGAAACTAGATAGCAATCTGTGGTATTGTGCTGATTCATGATACAGATAACAGTTATGTTAGAACTAACTAGGATTTATCTCTCTGTAGGATGCTACTCCATACGCATCTATGATATTCTGGAACCCTTCTGTAAACTTGTTGGTCCGGTTGAAAGTTGGAGGCTCCTCGTCAGTAGGTATTTGCGTCAGTACACTTGAAACACTAGACAGTGAGTCCACAGTTCCTTTATCAAGTGCCGCTTGAATCTTAGGAACGTCAATTACTGGAATCCAACATTGCACCTACAAAATAAACGCAAATAGGATCGTAGATAGTTTTACGCAAATAGGATCTCATCACTTGCTCTACCACACATCTAAAACATCATTAATTTTATTAGACTACTCACCTGCAGATACTTAGGGGATACTTGGAAGAAGTTGAGAGTGTGGTAGATGGACTTCATCTTCCTCACTTTCATGGCCCACACTGGCAGCTGACCAGCCGCAGCCTCCAGCACACGAGATCTATGAACCAGTGTCTCGTCCAACACAGCCTGAAGCAAACTAACATTAACACAAAGAGGCGAAGCGTTACTTTGCGAGAACCAGCAGAAAAATGCCAGCAACAAAGTGAAATAAGGGAAAAAAGAAAAAGGTACCTTAAAAAAGGTTTTGCTGTGCCAGAACTGAACCTCCGACCAAGAGATAAGGAGTCTTACGTCCTAGCACCTGCGGAACGATAGCTTGGAAAACGAACACTAGAAACCGAACATAGCCAACAGAAAACTTTAAAAGAGTCAATGGACGCAAGTAAACAGAAAAAAATACTGGCTTGTTTTTTGAAAAATTTTCAAATTGCGAAATTCAAAGAAAAAAAATTTGATGCCTTTGAAGCTCTTTGTATGTCTAGAAAAAATTACGCCTTAAAATGTTCTCATAAAATTAACCCAATTAAAAAAAACTGGATCAAAGATACAATTTTGATTACGCTGAGAGTTTGCCTTCCTTTTAAGACAAGCAATGAACTGAACTAAGACAATCGAAAGTCAAACCACGAAAAAGTAAATTTGAGCCTAAACAAAATCTAAGTTTTTTTCGTTAAAAAAAAACGAAAAAAAGTCATGGCGATATAAGAATCTGAACTACGTTAATCGACTCTTAATAAAGCAGCTACAGTTCCTCTTAAATTAAATTTTTGCTGGGGGAAGCGATCCTACGACCACGAGGATTAGAGTCCCCTATCTTCGCATCTGCGCTACAGCCCTAGAAAACTTACTAACACTAGCCACAAAAAGCACCAAATACAAATAGGCACAATTTGGCAAATAACAACAGAAGACATCCACATGCATGTAGCTTTGCATGTAAAAAAAATTGAGAGCATAAAACCAAATTATCTGATCAATTGAAAATGCATCAACTGTGTTCACGTAAAACTAATCAAATTCAAACTAAAAGCTATGAAAGGTTGCAACCACGAGTGGCACTAAAATTTGCGACTTCGGTTAGAAAAAAAGAATAGTCGTACTTTTACACTACACTCGCTAAAAATTGCGAGAACACGGAAACCAAAAAACAGTTGTTTCAAAATGTTCAAACGTTTTTCAACTTTCGACGAAATTTATATTAAGTTAACGGTCTTTGAATTTGAAGAAATATTTATGATTGACACTTTTTTCTCAAAATTAACACAATTTAGCAAAACTGGATCAACAGGTGATTTTTTTTACTTTTCAAAAAGTGCATATATACCAAAGTGCACTCATAAAGGCATTAATATGTATGATCCACTTCTGTGGTTACTAAAGAATTACAACACTTTTCCCCGAAAAAAGAATGAACAGAAAAATCAGCAATACCTATATAAGTGCAAATCGCTTTGTTCATTTACACTTAGAAACAAATTTTTTCAATGCACCGGAAATTAATCTCCGACCTGTAGATTAGTTGTCTCACATCCTCGCATCTGCGCCACTAATGCGACTTGGTTTGGAAGAAAAGGTGCCTCATAGGTTTAAAGCTTGTGTAATGAGATTTTTGCTCAAGAATTTACTTTTTTTTCAGAAAAATAAAAACGTTTAAGGACTCCGAATCAGTTCCCAATAATTGGAAATCAGATATTTCGCTAATACTAGTAATATATCGGTAACGTATCGAACAAAATCCTGAGTTTGTTTAAGTTTCTATTAAACTCAGATGAAAGCTTCCCATTCTTGATTGCTTATACACATCTAAACTCCGAAACATCTTATCTTGGAAATTCTGATTTTTTGACAAAGTTTGGTCGCCAAGGTATTACATCTCCCATCGTAATTAAAAAAACTGCCGTGAATAAGTGTATACCTTTTACAAAGAGGCGAAGCAGAGCTTCACGCCACTTGCGATGCAAAAATTATAAGTCAGTAAAAGTTATCAAAAAATCAGATAACAAAATTGTTGCAAAGATATATTTTTTAATTATTTAAGCAACAAAATCAGCCTACCTCAAACATACTTTTTAAACTGCCTGCTATGCATCGAAGTATTCCGACACGCGATCGAACCAAAAACCACTAACTCTGATTTACTTTTTAAAGAAAGACACATAAATACCGAACAGAATTATTCAAGTTTTCAGAAGCCTAGACAAATAAGATTAGAAACACAACAAAAGTGATCTGAAAAACTAAAAACGATTTTAAAAAACACAACACTACTGACAATGAGAAATTTCGCGAAAACTTTCGAAAATCAATTCCAAAACAATTCAAAAACTTCTAAATTAATTTTTATGAGTTCAACAAAAAAACAGATCAGAAAAAATGATTGAAACAAAAAACCAAGAACTAGACACTGTTTATGAAAAATCGACTGATTTTCAACAGCTATGAAGCAAAAAATCGCCAACTTTCATTTCCATAAAACCCGATGAGAAGACCAACAAGTTGACTGAAAAAAGGGTTTACCAAAAAATCAAACAAAAAAATAACCAATATTAAAGAAAAACATAAGCAATTGAACTATTTTAACAAAATTTAGCCCGAAAACAGATCAAAATTAACTAATTATGAGAAAAAAAAAAGAAAAATGATAAATTCGTCAAGCAATTCTGAACAAAATTATCGAAAATTTTGATGTTTAAAATTTCGGATTTAATAGCACTTCAAGCTTGCTTGATTCCCAGTTTTAACATCCTAGCACAATAACACTAAGCAAAATTAGCCGACAGCAACTCAAACTGACTTTGCAAAACGATGAACTCGACTAGCAACTTTAATATAAATTACCAAAAATTTTGAATTTAATTATTTCTGATTTGCTGGGAATTCAGGCTTGCTTCGTTCTCGTTTTTTTTTAGATGAAACGGCTACTTTTTAAAACAATATGGGCTAAAAAGCAATGAGAACATATTTTCAATTGTTTTAGAAAAACTTAACAAATATACGCAAAAAATTGCAAAAACCCATTACCTACACAAAAATTGCGAAAACTCATTACCAGAAAAAAGCAATTGAAAAATCATTCGAAAATGAGCCGACGGAATCACAGCCGACACTCAAGTGCCGAAAAAATACCGAAATTTTATGGCACAAAAAATACTATTAAACGAACTCATAACAATCACACAAGGCCCATACCTAAACTAACATGCACATACTTCATTTATCTCTACGGTAAAACATCTAGAATTGCCCACAGGATCTTCACTTCTAGAAGTGAAGATCCCGTGGACAAAGTTGTTTACGGGAAAAAAGTCTAGTACCCGGTTGCAATATCCTTGCTTATCGCAAGGGTAATGAACAAACTACACAATCTCCTTCATATCCCAAAAGAAGGAGCTAGCAAAAAAGATCCCAGCAAACTTTATTACTTAACCAGAGACCTGTAAATCTGCTATGCGTGCTTCTACTCCGCTCAGCATTTCCCTCCGCTCCGCAGTCTGTTCAGGACAGGGGTAGAGTGTGGCCCTGAAACCCTCGCAGATTTTCTTCACTCTATGGCCAAGTTGTTCCCCTTGGAAAAAGACCAGGAACACTGTCTTTCTCAAAGAGTCGCCCTAACTCAAGAACAAACAAGATTTAAACTACAACAGTCATAGCTGCAAATTATTGTTTTAAATAAAAGCTTGACGAAATAACCAATCTCTATTTCCAGCAAAATGATGATGTGCCATTTTAATACAACTGATTCTTCATTAATTTTATTTGAAAATGCTCGACAGCGAAGTTAGCACGGTTTTGGACAGACGCGCTTTTAAATTTGTTGTTTACATTTTAGTTCGTTTTTTTTTCAGAAAAAAAGACAATAATACAAGATTTAGAACTTACCGTGGAGGGGTCGATAAGTGGCTCCTCGATATCAGCATGTTTGAGGAACACATTACCCCTGCACACTCTCCACAACACCCGCTCGAAGGCACCCAGCAGCTCTCGTTTGATCACCCCTGCCACAACTCTAAACGACAAGATCCTATAAAAGCAAATGAGATCGAGTTGAGGGGTCTTTGTATCTATCGCTTACAAAGCTGTGCAAAAATTATTCAAACAGTCCCATCAAAAAACTATTAGATTTAAATTGCATATAATTTTCAAATTCGTTGCTACCACCTGTCAAGATATCGGGACTATTTCACAGCCTGGATGAGCATAACTTCATTATCGATGAGCTAATAAATATTTGGCAACTATGTACTTTTGAGACTAAGCCACGATTTCATGCCATGGGGTTTGCTAGCTTACCCCAACTTAGAAGCCCCCGGATCATCTGGGAAACCCACAAAGTCATCAGACTCCATCCCAACATCGGGAGGATCAAACTGACCTGAGCCCTGAAACAACAGATGCACCTGAGGCTCTCAGGTATTCTATTATCTCACCCCAGTTTTAGAGCCCCTCCGGTTTGTTGTGCTTCTGCACCTGCGCCCCCCTCGGGCTCCATCAGCCCCTCTGTCTCACCATGATCGTCTCCGAGTCCTGGTATGTCACCTGGAACTGGCGTTGAAAACCTATGAGAGTCAGCCTAAATAGACACAAAAACACAATTCAAACCGAACATTTTCATCAACAGAGACGTTTGATGATAACCATAGATCCGCTAAAATTCACACTATCATTGGATATAACAAAATTTTCAACTCGCTGAACTCAGGTCTGTTTGTAAAACAATATCTAATAGAAAGGTACTGATAGGTACAGTTTTTTTTCTGGATCCAAAAAGTGATTTTTCTCAACTTAACAGCTTGAAATGATAAATGCATCGATGATTGTCACGGAAGAAAATCAGAAGTGTTAATACCTCCTGGAAAAAGATGCCGGTCCTGAGGAGCACTTGCTTCAACTCCGTCAGCTCCAGGAAATTCTTCTGCAGCTGCTCCTGGTTTGAGAGTAGTTCACGCAATTCATTCTCCAATTTTTCTAGTTGGCTCTAAACAGAGATTCAAGCCAATATCTTTACGAGTAGACAAATCGCGAATCACTCACACGACAGCTGACGTCCAACTTCACTACTTAAACCTAACGTTACGAGAAGCAGAAATTGATGTACTTTAATTATGTCGAAATTACGCTTTTTGAAATTCCACAAGAAAAAAGTTACTGGATTGTACTTTTGATCGAATTAATACTGTAACTTCTTTGCAGCCGCAAAAAAACTCAATTGAAGTATGACAGGCATTACTTTGGGAGAGACAAAATGAATAAAAAGAGCAATTGACCTTTTTCATCTTTTTCATAGAAAATTCGTCTCAAGGTTGTGTGAAAAAATCGATTTAGCATGCAAAACAATCAAAATGAAAAAGTGGTCTTCGTAATTATTGGCGTCTGTAGGCTATTACAAGATTACTCACATCCAGCTGGTTCATCTCTCTGGCCTGTGGCACTTGGTGATCATCGGGGACACTGTTGGCCACTTGGATGTGTTCCTCCTTCTTCACTTCCTTCTCTATGAACCTCAGCTTCCGCTCCATCTCCTCACAGCGCCTCACCTCATTCACAAACTTACGCTGGAACGCGTTCACGTCCGGATTCATCTAAACACACGAGAGATATCACACATGTACAAGAACGAACTCAATGTTCACTCTATAACCTCCATAGTTTGATTGAGACATAGCCATGTGGACATGGGACATAGGAAAAACGGACATATAAGCAAGAAAAATAAATATATTTTTGAGAATGCGTTCAATGATCGGATCAATTTATGATCCTATAGCCTAAATTTTCATTCGGATAAAAACTAAGCACCAACTTGAGGGTGGATGTTTTTTAGGCCGAAATGGGCAACTCACATCTCTGAATTGGACCAGCCCACTCTCCCCCACCTCACCCACACAGTTGTACGCAGCCTCACTCTGCAGGAACAGCTGGTACAGGGCCACCTCCTCACACCGGAATAAAGACATGCTTTTTATCTATTGTATCAAAATGACTCACAATGAGTTCACAGTCACAGGCAGCTGCTAGACAACTCAATCAAATTGGCCTCAAATTCAGATGAAGAGTCAGATATGATATGATTTGATGTTTTGATACACACAATAGTACCAAATCTTTCTGAAAGTTGAAGAAACGTCTGTAATAATGAAACATGAGCACAAGATTATGTATGTTGCTTAGTGAATCATTAACAATATGAACACAATAAGTTAGATGTGACTCAATGTTTTATTGATATGTTTTATTTGACTCTATTTGTTTTATTTTACATCACTAACACATAAAAATAAATAAATGAAGAGATAAAAAGATCTAAAATAACTAAAATAACATGTCCAATGGACTAAACTCAACCAACTTACAGTTGAAAAACTTGTTATATAGCAATTTAGCACTTAACAATTACAAGATCTCTTTAACTAGCCCCCCCCCCCCCCACCCTATAGTAACTAAACTAATAATTGCCACCCCTATAAAGAAATATTTCATTGGTTAAACATATATAAATTTTGTTCCCAATAATGAATCTCTCTACCCCCCTTCCTTCCAAAAATGGGGGGTAAATAGTTAAATTCCCTATTTCATTTTCTCGATTATTGAGATAATCTCTGTAATCGAGAAAATGAATGTGAAAAGTGCTAAGCTTCAAAATGTGCTACAATACTTCGTAAATGCACAAAACCTGTAATCCAAGGCAATATTTGAGTACTTTAAGCTCCCAAGGAACAATAAATGTAAATTCCACTACAACAAGTAGCATAGCAGACTTTTCAAACCAATATGGTTTAAGAGAACCATGAACAAATTTAACAAAAAACTTTCAATGTTTCCTGATTTTATTTTTCATTTTACCCTCAATTCTCAGTGCTTCTCAAGTATAAGGACAGTTGGACTAGATAAGAACAGCAAAATTGACATATAAAATTGCTCAAATAACCAAAAACGACAGAGCTACTCAGCAATAGAGTTCATTCTGTCACTTAATCTCGTGTGGTCTGAAGTATGAAAAAATTCAGAATAATTTTTCTCGACACAGAGCCAAATGGAATCTGAATCACAGCGTCAAAGGCTTCTATGTGATATCACACATGCTATATGTGCCAAACACATGTTTTTGATCATATATGATGTGACATCATATATGCCAATTGCTCCTTCGTACACAACAGCTAAAACAATGATCGACCTTGCAATGAAAGAAACCGAAACCACCGGGCCTCCACAGTCACCAGCAAACAATACACGTCATCGCCAGCATTTACTATTCCAAAAACGGGTCTGGAAAAACAAGCAGGAAGCAAGCAGACAGATCTCCAATATATTTGAAAACAAAAATGAACAGAAAAAAAGAAGACAATTACAACCACCAGATTTTAGTATCATAAAGCTTTTTGAATCATTTGGACCTAGGAAATTGTTGTCATCAAAAACATGTGTAGCATTAAAGTATAAAAACTTGGAACTTTTTGGATCAGAACCGTCCTGAATTCAATCGGAACAATCGGAAACTAATTTATGCGAAATGAGTCTAGGACACCAGGCAGACGGATCTTGAAAACATTAAAAAAAACGCAGAATACAACAACCCTTTTTAGGATCATGCATTTTTTTGGATCATTTGACAAGTGGCCTCTACTAAAATACTCGCCCATTGAGTTTACAAAAATCCCTAGAAAATTGTTTTCATCAAAAAATTTTGAGCGAATAAATATAGTAACTTGACTAAGCTGATAAAATTGAATCCAAAACTATTCTAATCGAAAATAAAAAATAGCCATCAAATATTTAGAAAAAAGCCAATAAACGCAAGAAATGGAAAAAAATACTTACATTTTTCTTTTAAAAAAATCAATTTTCGAACTTCAAAGAACAAAATATGGCCTTTGAGCTTCTTGATGTTCAAAAACAATTTATCAAGGACAATTTTTTTGACAAAACTATCCCAATTTGTTAAAACTGGATCAATAGGTAGTTTTCTTTCCATCCGCTGTGAAATCTGAGAATTAGAAAGCGAGTTGGAAATTGACAAAAAACAGGACGACTGTCAATCATTGTAAGATATGATTGAATCAGAAAAACACATGCTTCGAAAATTAAGGTTTCAAAAAATAAGCAGATAAAAGAAAGTCAGATAATTTAAATATTCGTGGAAATTCTATTTCAATCACATTGAAAAGGCAAGGTTCTACCAAGACTCGAACCCCAGACGTTATGATTAAATTTCTTACAGATTTGTATGAAGTTTTTTACGGGAAAAACGCCCATTTCTCAATAAAAAGACACTTGCTCTGACAAGTTTATAAAAATACAGGAGCAAAACGATTTTTTTGTTGCTCGTAATTGTACCTCAAGAAAATTTTGGAATGAAATAGGAGAATGTACCTTTTGCTCTCTATTTGCGCTTTTGGTTTCTAAGTTATTGTTCCGACCCTTTCCTTGAAGAGGTAAAAAAAAGAATATGCATTGACTACTGCTTTTTACCTAATTTGTCTACTTTGCAGAAAGCTCTGCGACAAGTATGGTATCACCTTCAAGCCCTTTTTTGTCGTGATTAAGATTCAAAAATATCGAAAAATTTAACTACGTTCTATATTCTCACTGGTCGTAGTTTTTTGATTTTCAGACAGGAAACTTCAAACTTATATTCCTATGCAATTGTTATGCATTTTCTACAACCACTTACTTGAGATTTATAAACTAATCCTTTTGCACTAAACTTTGCACTAAAATGAACAAATTTAATCGCGAAAAATCTGAGCTATCAGGACTGCTAGTTCAAAAAGGAGTATATACTCAGCACTTTTCAAAAAACAAACTTTCACCGAACAGAAACATGAAATTCACATTATTATCAGCACTTAATTTCATAAAAGCAAACAATTTATAAAGAGTGGAAGCTACGGTTAGCTTAAACAAGTGAAAACAGGAAACAGCCAGAGTGACTATTTTTGACAACTTTTAATATTTTATTTTCAGAGGCGAAGCGGAGCTTCGCATCATTTGCGTCACAAAAATGTATGACTATGATTACCAGCAAATGAAGACAAATCAGAAATGTGAAAAAAGTCTTCAAAAATTGTTTTGGAAATTGCAACTGCAAAAAAAATTCCGAAAAAAAAATTATCTGCATTAATTGAAAATAAGCTTTCAAAATGCTGAAAAGAAACCAAACTTTTCTGCGGGACCTACGCCGACATGAATTAGCAGGCACGAAAGTCAAAATATTCGAAAAAAATTCAGTATCGAGAAAAAACTGGTTCCGACTGAAATCGTGGATATTTGTCGTCTCAAGCATGGGTGTTACCACTGCACTTAAAGCAGAATACTCCTTGAATTTATATTGAATACCATTTCTAAACATTTTAAATGAGCAGCATGAAAAAAATCAAAAAATAGGCAAAACTTCTTGGAAATCAATTACTTGCCCAAAACCGGAAAACACAGTTATGTTTTATGTTAGAGTAAAAATGCTCAAAGTTTAGAAAAATTTGATGCTGCGGCAATTAAGCCAACAAAAAATCAGACAAAAAAAATTCCCCTAAAAATTTCCAAAAAAACAGGTCCTGGCCGGATTCGAACGATTGACGTTTGTCTTTAGAGTCACGTGCGTTTGCTCTCGGCCACATGCGCGAATTAATGTCTGACTTTTCATTTCATAGTTATTCTGTTAAACTAGTTGTTAACCGGAAAAAAGTCTATATTCCGGTCTGCTAACGCTTGCTAAAATACAGCACGTTCAAGCTGTTCAATTTCAAAAAACTTTTACGGTTCATACTTTTTCAAAAAGCTAACCCAATTAGAAAACTGGGTGAAAAAGTATATTCAACCACGTTTTTTTTTTTTGCGACAGAACTTCGCACACTAAAAAATGATAACTTGCACATCAAACGAAAGCAGAAATACTTCATTCATTGAGACTTAAGCTGAAAAGTAGGTCAGGGACGCCTAGGAACAAATGTTTCTGAATCGAACACTGCAATCCTAAGTCTGAGCTATATAAGCTGACCTATATCCTCACCTATATAAGTCATCCTGATCTATCTAAATCATCCTGACCAATATAAGTCTGAGCTACAGTCATCGACTCTTAATTAAGCCAAAAGCAAAAGAATTGACCCAAACTTGGACAAAATTTCTCAGGCCTTTGTGGTCGTATCAAACAGCAGAGGAATCTGGGATACTTTTTCTATTAGGACTATTAAAAACTTAAAACGAAGCTCACATAGACATTAAGCAGTCAACCAAAAAAATCGTTTCAGCAAACAGCAATTACAGAGAGGCGAAGCTGCGCTTCTCAAACACTAGCGATAAGACGACAAAAAAAGCAGCTTTATAAAGCGAAATAAGAAATAAGGAAAAAAAGTTGAGCCTAAACAAAATTTAAGTTTTTTTTCGTAAAAAAAAAACGAAAAAAAGTCATGGCGATATAAGAATCTGCACTACGTTAATCGACTCTTAATAAAGCAGCTACAGTTCCTCTTAAATTGCCAATGCTATGCAGCAAAAACGCTACCAAATGAATAAAGGCAGAAGAAGATGGGAAAATATTCAAACAGAGGCGAAGGTATGCTTCGCAAAAAACAACAAAAGAGCAGCTCCGAGAAAAGAAATAAAAAAAAGTAAATTAGTCCTTAAAAAGAAAATTTTTGCTGGGGGAAGCGATCCTACGACCACGAGGATTAGAGTCCCCTGTCTTCGCATCTGCGCCACAGCCCAAGAAAACTTACTAACACTAGCCACAAAAAAGCACCAAATACAAATAGGCACAATTTGGCAAATAACAACAGAAGACATCCACATGCATGTAGCTTTGCATGTAAAAAAATTAAGAGCATAAAACCAAATTATGCATAAAATAAGCAATGAAAAAAATTGCGAGATAGATTAAGTTGGAAAACTTCTGAAATCGAGATTTTTTTTATTGTTATGTTGTTTGAATTAAGTAGCTTTCTTCGGTTCACATGATGAATCAAGAATGCATCAACTGTTTAAACTTATAACTATTCGAATGTCAAAGCACATGTTATCAATAAGCTGTAGGTGCAACTAAATATCAAAGGTGCAACAAAATATCAAAACATCTTATTGCCAATTCGATGGAGCAAACATTTTTGCTTTAAGTCGCAACAATAATTGCGACTTAGGTTGGGGAAAAAAAGAAACTTCGTACTATAACACATTGCTTCGCAGGTGTAACCAGCACGCAAATTCTGTTCTTTTTGCACTAAACTGGTAAACTTTGTTGTTATACATCTTAATCGAGTTGAGTTGACAACTTTGAACTTACTACGCCACCACCAATACAAGATCCCAATACTATACTGACTGGCGTTGAATTTCAAAAGCAAAACTCTTGACGCTTAAATAAGATTAACTACCCCTTTTAGTAAATTCTTTTTCAAAATCATGTAATGTTCAATGATCATCAATTTCAAAATTAGGTTATGATTCAATTTGAAATGTGTTATGTCAACAGCTTCGGTTTTGTTTCAGACTCTTTGTTAAAACATTACTTGTTCCTCAGATGTTTGGAGGGAAGAGAACTCCATTCGAGTACAGAATGAGTTGTCTACCAAATTGGAGCCTTCATCCGAGTGCCTTCTCAAAGTCAACTTTAAAAGCCAGCCAGATAATGGCCAAATGTTTTCTCCTACGTATCGGATTCGAACCTGCGACCTCGAGGTTTGGTGTGTCGCACCCTGTCTGCTCGGTCATGAACGCTTAAGAACAGACAAACACTTGTCTTGAATAAAGCAACTAATATGCTAATAAATTGACAATGCGAAACAGACACGAAATACAAATAGATACAATTTGGCATGTAATAATTTGGAATATAACAAACTGAAGGCATCCAGACTAACTTTCAATGGTTTTTTTTCGGTTCATTTGAACAACGAGAAATGCATCAACTGTGTTAACTTATTAATAATCGAATGTCAAAGCACATGCTATCAACAGCTGTAAAAGTGCCCCAAAAGTGGCAACAATATTTGCTACTTAGATTAGAAAAAAGAACATTCGTACTATTACTCTACGCGGGTGTAATGAATAACGGCAAAATGAGTGTCAAAAAGCAAGAAAATATATAAAACCAGCTTTGGAACACACAGCAACGAAGACTCGGGGATTCTATTCACACTTTGTTTGCATTCCTAAACCACTGCAAATTCACTTCATTCGTTATTACCTCCAACAAACTTATTTTACTGACAGGAAATTACGACTCATTTCTCAGTAACACACGCAAAACAACAATACCCTGCGTCTGAGGTCAAATCTCTGGAAGCCTTTGCTATACTTATCTTCTAGTAAAGACTTTTAATACCGAAACTTTCTTTGATTTATTTGAATGAAACACCGTTTGTACATATTTACAATTTATTAGTAAGTTATGATACCATGTACATTTACAATGACTTTTTTTACATTCTTTAGCTAAAGACGATTTGAAATTCGAAATAGAATGATTTATGCGATTTATTTACAGAAGAGTCTGAAATTCACCGTTGCTCTTAACCCATTCACTATTCGGTAGCTTCGACTTTTTCCTGTTCATTCGAATCTGTATTATCTTTCTCATCTCCCGAGCTGTTCAGTTTGGTTTTGTTTTTCTTCTTTGCCTCGGTAGTTGCTACTCGGAAGTTGTTAGCATGCTCCATTAGAGAGATTGAGACTGTGAGCCAGTTGAAGAGAGTCTGAGCTGGAAAGGGTCCCATTACTGACAGACGGTCCTTCGAAATATCTAAAACGAAGCAATGCTCAAAGCTCGTGCATATCAATTTACATCTCTGATATACCAAAAACTCCCGTTTTTTATGCGCTAGATCAGCTTTCCATTTAGCTGACACGTAACGTAATATTAACGGCGCAAAGTTAAGATTCAAAATCAATTTTTCAGATCTTCTCTTCTGAGGTACCCAATTTTTTTACCCTAACACCTTCTTTGGCTCAAAAACAACGTCTAACTGACAACTTCGATCTTACTTTTATTGCTAATCAGCTTTACTAACCATTGAGCATTTTCCTCATAACTGTCACATCTAGAGTCGTCGGAGCAGTGGGGTCAAATGCGGCCACTTTTTTCAGCATTTCCGAAGACAGAACCTAAAGAACACTTCCGTTTTCGAGACATATTTAATATTCAAGTCGGAAGCACAGATGATCACACTGCAACAAAACGAAGATATAACAAAAAAACCACGTTTTGAACACTGAATTTACCGAATCATCCATCTGAAACAACATGTCTTTTTATAATGAATAAACTATCTGAAAGCAAGAGATCCTCACCCAATCTTCGATTTCAAATAAAAACACCGGAATCAACCACTGACCATCGACCACATCATTAAATACCTTCCTTGTCATCAATGATAAATGAAAACTGACCAATTTCTTAGAGTTCCAGTTGTTAAACTGTTCCTTATTCTTCGCTAGGAACAACTCAATGAGGATGTCCACGATCTGCACAGCTGTCTCGGGTGGCTGGTTGTAGCTCTTCATCTCAGCGAACGTCTCTCCTCCGATCTCCTTGACCAGACTCCTCATCTCCAGCAGCATCATCCTCTCGAACAGGATCTCAACACTCAGGGCACCCATGTCCTTCTCAATCTCTGTCAAACACATTATCGTTACGAAAATCAATCGCAATGTTTGATTCAACTCAGCAAAATTAGTATTCAACACATTTATCTGAGAGGGAAAGGAGTTCTTCACGAAGAACCTTTAGCAAACAGAATCAAAAAATGTATCATGCAGAGCCAGAATTCTCAGGGCAATTCAAGCCATGTACAGCACAGCAGTTGCGCAATTGAAACGCAATGGATTTTTTTGAGAATTCTAAAAGTGTAAAAAAAATTCAGAGTCGAAACCAGTCGAAAATAAACTGACCCAATGCGGCGTGAGTGGTGGTCTTGCCCTGTGCCTCCTCTGTCATGTAGTGGAACGCATCCTGCTGGATACTCAACAGTCTAGTCAGCTCAATCTAAAGAACGACCAATTGCTCCTTATATTGCCAATCTGGCTCTTAAAAATCAGTGCTAATTGGTATAAATTGCTGTTTTCAGTTCCAGTGTACAGTTCCAGTTTGGTTGATTGTACACTTTTTGACAGCAATCGCTCTTTTTCTGTTAAAAATCGGTTTCCAATTAATGGAAACACAATGCTTTTCCAGCCTTGGCCATAAAATGTTTTTTTTTAACTTAATCAATGGTATCATGATTTACTGAAGTACCTTCTCCATCTTGTTAAGAGTGTCTGTTTGGCCAAGATTGATATCCATAACAGCCTTGGAAAATCCATCTGGATCTCTGATGGGACAAGCCATGTGGAACTGGCTCAACATTTCCCCAATCACCGTCTCCGAGTTACTCACGGCTTTGTACAGGTACTCCCTTTGAACAAAAAAAAATTGTCACTTTAGGTTCGAAAACCGACCAACAACTAACATAAAGTTACAAAGAGAACAAAAAAAACTGGATTCTTATTTACTTATTTAATTAATTGTCAATTCTGTGTCGTACAAAATTTCAAGCACTCTTCTAGAGCATTCCATTTAAAAAAAGATTATCGGTTCAAAAACGCTTTTAGATTCCATTCCCCTTAAGATTCTTAAATCCTAATGAATCCAAAATATTACCACTTGCTAAACGCACCTCAAAATTAAATGAGCGAGAAAAGACGATAGTTGAGCAGCAGCAGAAAATGCTCAGAACACAATGATTTCAGAAAAGAACATTCAACAGAGAGGCGAAGCGGAGCTTCGCACCATTTGCGATACCACACACACATAGCATTGCAAGCTAGCAGACAGAAAATGAAACAAAGCCCACTAAGTCGAAAAACAATTAGAACATTTTGAAAAAACCAAATAAAAACTTTTCAGAAAATTGTCTGAAATGATGTTCAATTTAAAAACACAATAAATGGCGTTTAATAAGTATTCAGACACAAAAATTGATCGTCAACTAAGCCGGCAAAAGTTGGTTAGACTCCCGTTGAGCAAAATTGTTTTCAAATGAAAATTTTTTAAGTTCCAAAAATCTAAATGCTTACGCTCCCCTCCGAAAACACAAAAGCTTAAAATTCTATTTTTATTTTTAAACAACATTTAACTAGGTAACTTACTCGATAAAACATAAGCAAAAACAATTGAAGCCAAACAAACCAGCGAAAAAAACACGAAACAAAATTCAAACTTATTAAGTTTACAAATTACACTAACAAATCAAAATTCTTTCAGCTACAATAAAAATTACTTGCAGCTCAGCAAAAATCCGTAACAAGGCAACTAAACCGACCAAACATAAGCAAACACACTCAAGTCGACAATTTTTGAAACAAAATATTTCCCTTTTAAAAAGTTCGGGCCTTTTTCGAACACAGGACCTTTACCACCACAGGCGTAATATTTTTTCTCAAAAACCATGTGTGCCCGAAAAGCTAAAAAGGTTTGATTTTTATGTAAGCCAAGCTATCATAAGTTTTTCTGTAAATATTTTGTAAAACAAGAAAAATCCGAGATGCGGCACTTAAGCCGACAAAACATAATCAGACTAACGATAGACCGAAAATTTGTTTGAAACGGAATATTTTGTCTTCAGAAACTTAAGACATTACTTCTTAAAAGAACTCTCAGTAATAACAGAATTGCGGTGTGCAAGTGAATAAAGTCTAGTGGCTCAAATGATTTTGTTAAACAAGTTGTTAACCCGAAAAATATTCTATATTCCAGTTTGATAACGCTTACTTATCGCAAGCGTAAATATAAATACATAATTTTTTTTTCAAATATATCAATTTATTATCCAAAATCTCTTGTTATTTTTTTTAGAAAGAAAAACAGATTGATTAAGGCAAAAAAATGCAAAATGAGTAGTAATTAATAGCTAAAATAGCGGTAAAATTGAAGCATAATTAAATTCGGTCAGTCTCTTATCAAATTCCTGTGATTTAGTCTGAAAAGCGAAAAAAATTTTATTTCATAAATTGAATCGCGGTGAAAAAAGGCTCTCTCATGAGATTCAATTTTGACCCTTCGAGGATTATCCGTGGTAGTCAAATCGGCTAAAAAACAGCCCCTACGACATAGTTTCTTCTCAATTCAGGAAGAGGTTGCAACAAAAACTAACTTGAACATGTTGTCCCTCAGAGCAAGGGCCTTTGTCTTCTTGAAGTAAGTAACTTTGCCGTCATAATCAGATCCACACATCATCCTGAGAGTGAATGGTGACTCAACTTGAAGTGGGTTACTCTCAACAAGGTAGAATGTCACCTCCTTCACTGTCGGGCAGTTGTCTTTGATCCACTTGATACAGCTCTCCACTATTTTAAGACTTCTGCGCTTCATGTCAATCAGAGAAAATGCTTCGTGGAACTTCTGAGCCACACCCTACAGTAATAATGCTGTGGCCTAAGTGTCCATTTTTACATTCTTTGGTTTATATTAATTCGGCAATCAATTGATGGCAAAATTTCTAGGGGAGGTCTGTCACGATTTTCAGAATACTTATAGAGCAGAACGATATTGGAAGTAGATGATACCACATAACCATTCGTGAAAGAAAAAAGAAACACTAAATTTCCAGTGAATACTTTATTAAGGCTTACCTGCACGAATGCGAGTTCGTGTTGGAGGAATATCCTGTTCTCCTTGTTCTGAGTCCTCAGAGTGTCCACTGCCAGGGTGCCATAGGCACTCCTCCTGCTGTCCAGAATGGGGCACACGATCAGGCTACCGTCCTTAAGGAAAACAGTTGAATCTGCCTGGAAACTTCTGAAGATTGGAACTAATATTTTATATTCAATATCAAAAAGCGAAAAAGGCAACAGCAAAAACAATTCAAAACAACTCCTGGCCGATAAAAATCAGTACCGATTCAAGCATCGCTGCGTGCATTGAGAAAAATTTATAAGTTTGGAAGTCTTGATTTCTAAATAAGCCCTGAACTAGAATCTAGAACCATTTTTGTCAACAAAGAAATATCTTGACTTACCCTGTCACTCCGTCTTGGGTTCCAGTAGTGCACAGACCCGTGTGACCTCACTTTAGGCACATGAATCATCTCCTTCTGGGCCATCGCGGGAAACGATATATTTTCCTCCGTCTCCGTTATGCGTTCTCCCAACATAAAAGGCGCATCATCCGATGTTGCGGCCACACATCTGAGGAGTTTAGACGGGATGTCTGGGGAGTCATCGTCTGCAGCTGGGTTGGATTCCAACATGCAGACGTTGGAGCAGATTTTTTTGTTTCTACCGTGAGCCTCTGCGTCCTGGAGTGAGCAAAAACGAATATTTGCAATGGTTAAAATCTCTGATCTGATCTGATCATTTTTGAATCGCGGGAATATATATAAAAGGCTATAATGTTTTTGAAAAAGTAGGGCGTATAATCGAAACTGAAATTCAAAACAATTAGGTCAAAACATTTGAAAGTCTTAGACCAAAATATACAAGCACATAGAAGAGCAGCCGATTTTTCCATTGGTACCACTTTTTCAAAATCGGTAAAACAGCTTTTGAGAGAAACGGAAATTTCTGCGAAAATTGTTTAACTTTTCCAAGCGTCGCAAAAAACAACAAAAAGCAACAAATGCTATACATCTTCACACAGAGGCGAAGTTGCACTTCGCAAACACAAGCAAAAATAAGACCGATAACGCTACTGGGAAAAACAGAATGAGTAAAACTTTGTCTACAAAATTTCTTAAATGACGCACGCCACAATTATGAGTCTACAAAATTGCTAAGTGACGTCAGCCAATTATGACCAATTAGCAGTAACCGCAGTGGAGTTCTATGGAGAATATCGATTATATTGTCATTTTATAGTCAGTATCTATAAAATTACGAAAGTAATCGATTATAATCCATCAAAAATGGATTATAATCATAGTATTTTTATATCAAAATAATCCATTATTATCGATTATAATCCATTAAAATGGAAAACAATCATAACAATTTTCTAATTCAGTATTTGCGACTTAGGATCGAAAAAAAAAGAAAGTAAGAAAGTTCATACTATAACACAAGCTATGCTTGTGTAATAATAATATCTGTTTTTTCTTCAAACAGGAACTAACACAAGCCAAAAATTTATATTTGCGACTTAGGTTAGAAAAAAGTTTCTTTGTAGTAATACATTATTCTCGGTTGCGTAAAAAGAGTATGTATAGCAAGCAAAACTTCTTATTTGAAAAGAAATAAACATCACAACAGGTAACAGACGGACCTTGTAGAGTGCATTGAACACGGCCCTGTAGACTGTTTCCATGTCTCCGGTTGAGTGAGCTACAGCTGTTATCTCCTCCAGCCATTTTCTCCTCGCCTAAATTGGTTAGCACATTATTAGTTAGAAGCTATAATTGACCAAATTCAGCTTGACTAATATGAGCTTCAAAGGGCAACAGAAATGCTGGACTACTCCTACCAATGAAGTTTAAGACTCAAATTTGAGGCAAAAATCTTGCAAAAAAAAAGACTTCTGTCAGTATTGTACAGGCTAGCTGCCAGTAGAATAATTCGTTTAATATGCAAAAAATACATTATTACAGATTGTGAATTACCATTCCTCTGATCTTTTCTTCGTGTGACTTATCCACCGAGTCTGTGAGGAACTGGACATATGACTGCAGCTGCTCCTCTCCCCCTGCCAGATGCTGGATGATGTCGGACACCAGGTCCACAAACATTGGCTGTGTCAGCTGGTTGTCCGGCACAGCTCCGAAGTCATCCAGGCCTGTAGGAGATTAGCGAAATAATTCAGTCAGTTATCTTTCATTAAAAAATCTTGCTGAAAAAAAACTATTTATACAATTTTTTACCACAAATTTGCGTTTTCACGTGAACTCCTCAAATTTTGGGGTCGGTTGGTCCAAAAATGTTCGTCGTAAAATAGTAACTCACCTAACTCATCCTTATAGGCACAGGTGTACGGTTTTCACTTTTATTCGATTAAATTTAAATCCAATTCAGAAAGGAAACCCTGTCAAAGGAAGCACTATATTTTGTAAGAAGTATTATGAAGTCAGTTCAAGAATGTTCACCCACCCAGTTCGAGCGCCTCCTGCTCGGCACCTCCCTTGTACTTCTCAGCCACAGAGATGAAGTGGGGCAACTCCACGTAGCCCTTTCCATCTATGTCCCAGGTGGAGAAGAGGGCCTCCAGTATGTACTTGCCAAACCTCTCCTTCGCGTCCGAGTTCAACTGAAAACAAACGTCATGCGCATTTTTCATGGGCTCAACATAACGCAAAATCGGATCAACGCACTTTATTAATCAAAAGTTTGTTCTCCCTTAACCTGAAAATAACCAAGGCAATCTTCTTTTGTCACTCACAATCGAACCGCTTAAACATATCGTTTATATCCATACAAAAAAAAACAAAGAAAAATAATTTGAGGAAGGTCTGAGATGGGTATCTTCAAAAAATAGCCCATAAAAGTATCCAGGTAATTCTTGCCAATTAAAATTTAAATGGCGTCATCAAGTCTCTAGTTCAGCCTATCTCTAGGGGTTTGTTCCGAGTTGCACCAGCACCAACCTTGTTTATTCTGTACAGCTTGTCCTCCTCCCCCTCCAAGTAGTATGTGCTGATGTAAGATATGAAAGAGTAGAGTAGCTTGTCCTCACACCCCTCCCCCAGGAAGTTCTCAATCAGGAGCGAGAACTGGTCACTGCTCAACATGTTCTCATTGAACGCCTCAGTCTGCTCCCGCGGCAAAACTTCACGCAACTTATCTGCACAAATTAAAGACTTGTCCAAAAATCAACAGCTAGGTGATTTAATTTTTAACTGTTCTCAGCTTCTTTATCTTTCATTAATATAGCTTTTACAATTTGAAACAGTCCATATTCATGTCTTCACAGGTAAGATGGATCGTTGCAGCTTTGATCATGCAAGCAATGAGTTTGATCATGCAAACTTTTGATTCTGCAAATTTTGATGATGCAAACTTTTGATTCTGCAATCAAAAACATCTTCTTCAATCAACAAATTTTCGAAAACATGACTTCTTTTGAGGAGATTGAACATGCATCTAACACTACCAATTGAACTTACGTATGTAGACAATTAAATGGTTATCGTTCCGCGCTGCTCCTTCAAAAGTTTAAAACAGTTATCATTATGTAAGCGTATACATTTTTTGGATTTGAATGTGCTTAATAGTTATGCCACCACAAAAACTATTGTAGTCCTCTTTATTCGATTAATTCTCGAATAATAATGAAAAACCCGAACTTTATAAGCATAAATCCAAATTTTGTTCCGACCATTGAAAATGGGGAGGAACTTTGTTTTCAGGAGTGTTTTAGTTTTTGCCCTTTTTTTATTTTCCACGCAAATCAGGTACCACAAATAATCATCGGACTGGGTTGAGTCATATATCATATTAAAGCTCTTTCAGCCGTGATCCGAACGACATTAAGAAATTTCCACAAAGCGTCGAGACAAAGCGTTTTGAAGATTTAGATTTTATGCTTCTTTTGGAGCGAGCAAAGCGATCGAGTAACGTTCGTTATGAATAAAAAATCACCTGTTTATGCTAAAAACCGAGCCTTTAACTGAAAAATATATAGTTTTGGAAGCCTTACTTGGCGCTTCTCTGGCAAAACAAATCTTTTTTGTTCATTTATTTTTCGAAGACAATTGTAGTCGTTTAAGCTTAATCACTAAATTTGTATAGCACTATCATTACACGACGTACAAAAAAAAACAAATCAAAAAAATTTGAGAATAAGGTCGGAATATTCTGTGCTATTTGCACAGCAACCGGCAATCCTTGTTTAATTACTGAATTTAAAACGTAATTTTTATGAACTAGTGTTTAAATGACCGATATTCGCTGATGGTGATGATAAATCTTCTCTTTTCCAGTTCAGCCATGAATTTTTCTGAAATTCAATATATGAAAGTCTATATAAAATGAATTTCATGAAATAAATTGCATTAAAACGTGCCAGCAGGAACAAACTTTTACATCATTTCTGGTATTCAAAACGCCGCATGAACAATTTTTGAACAGCTTTATTTTGTAATTTCGAGAAGGTTGGGAAACTGGAAAAGAGACGGCAAATCAAACACAGACGCGACGCTTCGCAAACACGACCGAGAACACAAACAGCAGCTCTATTAAGTGCGAAAAGAAAAAGAAGAAATAAGCCTCGAATTAGTAAAAATTCCGCTACGTCTCGGATTCGATCTGCGTCCTACTGCTACCTGGAGTTTATGAGAACAGATGCTATGAAATTTTCAATGCTGCAGATTGTGACTATAGCAAAATGCCACCAATAAGTGAACACTTTCAATAAAAACTTTTGTTTGCGAGTTAGGTTAGAAAAAAAGGTTTGTACTTATAACCACTCATAACCACGATAAAGAGTTGTGCGCTCTTACCAGTCTTCTCCCTTTCCAGCTCAGCCTTTCTGATCTCCTCCACTATATTCCTCTGCTCCTTCACAGACGCAGTCTCATCCAAATCATCATCATCCTCCCCATCTCCTCCCTCTTGTTGACCCCCTCCTCCTTCTTCCTCTGTTGCATCCTTTTTCTCCTGTCCAGTTTCCTCTGTAAAATAACAAATTGTGTTCAAAAAAAAACTTTGATAACTTTAGGGCGAGGGCAACATAAGTGCACGACAATGAGTAAAAATATTAATCTAAAGTGAAATAATTGTTTGCATATAAAGGTTTCTAAAATTAAAAGCAACAAACTTGGAGGCTATCCGTCCAAGTTAAAAACCTTGCATTAACTGGCAAACTGGCACTTGGTGTCTTGCTGTTTTTTTTTTCAAATAAAACGCGGAAATTTCTTAAATACATTCTTTTCAAATGCGTTTTTGAAACAACAGCGAATCAGCCGAATATTGGAACAGCACAGACGCTTTAGTAGGAATCCTAGGTATATCATAGTTTCCGAATATCACAGTGCTCAAATAAATCATGAATATTGCCAACAGATTGTTGGAAAAGAGTCAATGAACCCAAAGAAGCAAAAAAAATGACTTCAACTTTCGAATTTCAAACAAAAAATAGATGTCCACCAAGGGCATTCATATGTGCATTTATAAGTAGAATGCACTTCTTTTGTTATTAGATCATTTCATTTTTCCTGAAAAACTACGAAAAAAACATCGCACTTCTACGTCGTTCATCTACTCTTAAACACAAGCGTTTTACCGGAGTTTTCAGTAGTGTCTGCAGCTTTTTCGTTCGGCGCAATTGCATCTTCCTCGCCAGTTTGGGTGTTCACTGAAACAATCACAATACATTTAGCTCAAAGCACCACTGGAACTGAGTGAAACCAGAACAACCTAACTATTTTAGACACCTGCTAATTGAACTCAGAAAAGGAGAAGTAGCAAAATTTAAGAAATCTGCAACTCGCAAGAAAAGGTAACTTATCTATAGTCTGAACTTATCTCTTTAATTACAAAAAAAAAACAGATAAACGGCGGGTTCAATGGAGCACTTATACTGAATATCTAACTTATACTGGTTATCTAACTTAGCGAATTGTGTATTTCCCTGAAATGTTCAAACTGCTCATTTTTCGAGATGTGCTCTATAGCGAATTTTCGTTGTCACTGAGCTAACCCGAATCTTCCACAGCAGACTGTTTCTCCTCTGCCGTAGTCTCCCCACTCTCATCGCCCTCATTCTGCCCCTCCTCCCCTGTTGAGGCAGTGGCGTCACCACCTGCCCCCACGTCCTCCTCCTCCTCCCCTTCGCCCTCTTTCACCTCTTCCTCTTCTAATTTGGACACTTCTATTTCATCCACCGGATCTTCAGCGTCTTCCTCCGACTCTTTAATCTCCACGACAGGCCCTGCATAAGCCAAAGAAAACATTTTTATGGATCGAAAAAGACTTTCGTTGTTTTCTCAACGTGAAAAATAGCCAACTGAATACTGGAAAAGTGTCAATTAATTCAAAGAAAGCAAAAATTACCGATCGACTTTTTTGGAATATTTTTCAGCTTTGAAATTTCAGAAAAAAATACATTAAGTTAAAGCTCATTGATTTTAAATAATCTTTTCTGGTTGATAGACTTTTCATAAAAACTGACTCAATTAGAAAAAACTGGATCATCGTGTAGTTTCTTTTATTCTGGTGGAAAATCTAAAAATTTTGCACCATTTTCACTTTCGTAACTGGAGAGCGTGAATTGCTTTCCTAATAACTTTCCTCATTTGCTATCCTACGGTGCTGAACAATATGTGTATTTATTTTTGCTGTCCAATTTTCAAGCATTTTTCATATTACAATTTTTGGTGCTCTGAGACAAAAATTGCAATCTGCCTCTGACTGAAATTAATGTGGTCATAATCTATCAGTATTCATTTAAAACTAATTCAAAAAATTGACTGTTTTTTTTTAGTCCTAGCCCTGATACGAGAAGCCTTGCTTTGCTAGTTTTTAATTACGCAATTTACATTTCCTTGGATCTCTCAACTTGTTTCTCTTCTCTTTATCGCATTTCTTCCAGAACATCTGCAGCAACTGGATCACTATGTTTCTATTGATGTAGCCGATCTGTCAAAGAATGGTACATATCAGAAATCTATTATAAATAATCTTTTATGAAGTTAACTGATAATTAAGCTCAAACAAGGTGCGAATATTTGGAGCAAAGCTAATTTCAAATTACTTAGTTGTAATTTTTTAGTACTTCAAACCCCTAAAAACTCACCTGATAAGCTCCGGTGAGGTTAAAAATTAAGTCCCAATCAGCTGTGAAGTGATTCTGATTTTGAAAAACTGGTAAAAAGGAGACCACTGAATTGATTAAATGCATGCCCCATTGGACAAGATACTCTCATGAACACCATTGCCTCAAAAGCTCTCTTGTTTTAGGATTTATATTTAACGCTCATAGTAAAAACAATTGAGCATTTAGAATATTAACACCGAGGAGAAGCTGCGCTTCGCAAACACAAGCCAAGAAAATGCAAAGAGCTCTAAACAGGCAAAACAAATTGAAATAAGAAAAGGATTAAAATACCCCGTGAGAAAAAAATAGCGAGATTAGAAATATCAAGTTCTCGCATCTGCTCCACGACCGCTTGTAAATTTACTAATACTTGCAACAAATAAAGAAGCTACAGTTTCTATCAAATTGCCAATGCCAAGCAGCTAAAACTCTACCAAAAAACAAATAAAATTATTTCAATAATCAGGGTTTAAATCTCCGACCTGTTGATTACAGCCTCACGTCCTCGCAATTTGCCACGGCTGTTTGAAAAAAGCTATTAACGCAGTTAAAACTGGATCCACCAGATTTAATATATTCAATCATATATTGTACTAAGACTTTAGGCAAAACCCTAGTGATTTCTCTTCTTGAGTAGTCATTTAGTCGTTTATTTAAAGGAGAAAACTACTACTCGCTTGCTTCTTTCTTTCAATTGAAGTCTTATCTCAGATCTGGCCGGGTAGTTTTCAAAAACTGAAAAAGATTCCAAAAAAAACGATCTAAGACTCAAAAATTTGACTTTTCTTAAATCCATAAAATTTTCTCTACTAGAGCATGGGAAAAGCCTCTTATGCAAGAAAAAAATCCACACACCCTTTTTTTTGGATAGAACCCTCGGTACAGATTAAGCTAGTTGTTTTCGATCGTAGTGATGAAATTTCTTTAAAAAAACGGTAAAAACTTCAAAAAATGGATTTTTCCGAAGTCCATATCAACTTTTCTACAAATAAATTGAAAACAAAACAGATTGCACAGGTAAAATCTACGCACCATGTTAGTTTGAATGACTATCAACTTTAGATTCAGCATGTTAGGGCAAAAAAAGGGGAAAAATTCAAACTGTGGACATTTTCTAAGGCCATATTTTTTCAAAACGCAGGACATAGCAGTTTGCACAGAACAAAATGGCAAAACTGATTATTTTTTGTTCGGTTAAACCCTTTATCTCCGATTTGGCAAGGAAGATTTCGACAAATATTTACAAAATGTCAACAATTTGCACAAATCTTGATTAAAGCCATACATTTTTTCTACCAAATTTAGGAAAAAGCCGCTGGAGAAGGAGAGATCCCCATGATTTGTTCTTTTGACTGAAAACTTTATCTGAGATTTGTGCATTTAACATTCGAGAAAATGAAAAAATTCAACACAAATAGGTCAAAAAAACCCCTACTGAAAGTTACGAATGCTGTAGAACGTCGGGTAAAATGAAAAGATACTAGCAAAATATGAAGGCACATAGATGAGCAGCCGGTTTTCCCATTGGTACCATTTTTTGAAAATGGTACAGTAGTTTTTGGGAAAATTATGAAACTTCTGCGAAATTGCAAAAATTTTCCTAAGCGTCGCAAAAAACAACAAATTCCATACATTTTTGTTTGTTTCAAAACAAGACCTAACACTAGGCAAAAATAAAGCAGCAACATATGCTTTTAAACTGCTTATGCTTAAAGATGATTAAATTGAAAGATATCAAAGAGCCACCAAATGAGCACTTTTATTTGCGACTTAGGTTAGAAAAAACTTCTTCGTAATAATACACTACGCTTTGCTTTTGTCACAGGCAAAAACTTGGTTAGAAAAAAACTTCTTCGTAATAATACACTACGCTTTGCTTTTGTCACAGGCAAAAACTTCAAGTAGGTTAGTGGCAAAATGTAAAAGCGTTAATCAAGAATAAAACGTTCGTTCATACTTCTCCCATTTTCTGCAATAACAAAAGTTAATTTCCTACAGAGGTGCACATGTGAAAATGAAAATTTGTGCGAATTAAACAGGGACAGTTCTTGAAGTGATTACTTATAAACTAATGTGTGACTATTAGAATTCGTGCTCAGACGAAATACATGTTCACAAATTTTAGTTTAATGTTTCGTTCATATAGTTAGACAATGATAAGGCTGTTGTAAATTAACTCAATTTAAAATTTGTGGTTATAATAGCAGTTACTTTTAGTGAAAACATAGCCAACTAAAAGTTGGAAAAAAGTAATGAGCACAAGGAAACTGAAAAAAAAACCGTCTTTGTTTTTCAGAAATTTTTATTTTTTGAATTTCGAAGAAAAAATTAGATGGCCTTAAAGCTCTTTGAATCTGTAGAACAATTTATGGTGGACACTTGTTTGTTAAAATAACCCCAATTTGAGAAAACTGGATCAATAGGTAAAACTTTTATTTCGCTGGGAAATCTGATAATTAATTTCCATTTTCGAAATTAGAAGTCGATCACGTTTTTCGTGACCTTTACACTTTTGCTGTTCCATAGTGGGTTTGCCTTCCTTTAAACAATAAAAATGCACTGAACTTAAAAAATCACAAGTCAAACCGCGAAAAAAAAAATTGAGCGTGAAGACTTTCCTGAAAAAAAAAACAGCAAGACCTATATAAGTCTTCACTACGTTCATTACTCTTGATAACTTACAACTTCTTGATGTGTTGATGTGCATGCGTTGTTTTGAGTACATCAGTTCTCAGATAACTTTGAAAAATTCTGTCTATTTTTTATCTTACTTTGGTGTCGAGGTAGTTGAACAAGTCAGTGTATATCTTCTGCCGTCTGGTGACTCTGTTCGCTTCGTGGTATGCATCTGCACACATGGTCAGATGAGACATGAACAGATCGAACATGTCAGGCGAGAAGTTCTGCACATACTTCATCCCATACTAAACAATATCGAATAGTTGCAAACTGTTGGCAATATTCCGAATGTATTACGGCGTGAAAATTTCACAACTGATTTAATTAAAACTACAAAACTTCAAGTTAATACTGCCTGATGAATTTATGATTTCTTTTTTTTCTGCACTAAGCTGCGTTCAAAACTAATCTGGAGCGAAATTATCCTTCGAATTAATTTTATTGCTAACAAGAACATCTTTAAACCAGTCTGTAACTAACCGCTCGGAACTGCCATTTGTCGAGGGTTCGTCCACTGATATCTGTTTGCTCAATTTCGGCGTCAAACTTTGCGTCTAAATAAACGATTTGGTTTATTTTTGGCCAATTTTAAAAGCTAATTTCAGACCAATTTTAAGCGAATGCTCAACTTACTATCTTGCATCTCGACAGGCAATTTTCGAACCAGTTCCTCGAAAGAGCGCATGACATTTTGAACCTAAAAATTGAACTAAGTGAGAAAAAATTGAACTTTCTAATCGTATTAATTTATTTCAGCTTAAGGGAAGAGGCGAAGCGAAGCTTCGCACCACTTGCGATACAGCACAATTATACCATGGCAAACTAGCCGTCATAAAATGAAACAAAAACCCCTCAATCGCACAACTAGTTTGTAATAAATTCGATTTTTTTAACATAATAAACATTCGGAGGAAATTGAATCATGATTGTTCCACCTCCACTTCTCCTTGGAGGAACAATTAATCAACTTAATCATTGGTAGTTTTAGATGCGTAGTTTTCGAGAAAACGAAAAAAAAATCAAAAATAAAAACCTCTCAGCTTCGAATTTTTGACAACTCATAAAAAACCGCATATATTGGAAATAAGATCAACATCCTTTGATTATACTCTAACAGCACCCAATTACAGTGTTGTTAACTTCAAATTTTGTAACTTCAAGTTAATATTAAAGTTTTTCTATATTCAAATTTTGGAAAACTATAAAACTTTGTGAAGTTTTTTATATCTAAGTTCTTTGAAAAATTTTAAAATTACCTAAAAAAGTCACATCTCGGAAAATAAAAGCAAATGAGCAGTCGCATTTGGAGGCAAGATTTGCGGCTCTTCAGAGTCATCTCACTGAAGCCAACTACAGCGTTGGAAAGTTCAAATTTAGAAAAATAATTTCTAATTAAAATTTTCTGAAAATTTTTTGTAATCACAAAAAACGTCATATCTCAAAAAATACAACGATTTTAGCACGCACAGGAGGCAAAAAAAAAATGGCAACCCCTGCAAGTCCCCTTACAGAGCCTCACTATGGAGATGAGAACTCAAATTTTGTGAATTTTTTTTATATCTGAGTTCTTTGAAAATTTTAAAAACAAAATGGCCAAACAAACGTCACATCTCGGAAACTAAGAGCATTTAAGCAGTCGGATGCAAAGTTTACAAATAAGAACTGCTGAGAGTACCCTTACAGAACCCAACTACAAGGTTGAGAATTTCAAATTTTGAATTACTTTTTAATTCTAATTTCTGAAAATTTTCTGAAAAGTCACTAAAAACCATCGTATCTCGTAAACTAAAAAGGGCTGGGCGTTCATAATTGACAGCGCTGACAGCATCCACTATTGGGTTGCTGATTTTAAACTCGGTGAAATAAAACACTGAATTGAAAATCAAAAAAAAATTTAACCATTGTAATATACGATATAGCATAAACCTGCAAAAATAATACGCTAAAAGAGCTTTTAAATTGCGAGATTGTGAACCCGCATTTAAATATATAATGGATTAGTTAAAATCAACAATATTTACGAGAAATTTTTTGATATCTAGTTTTTTCTGGGAAATTTCAATTTAAATATATGAGAAAATAATCTTGTTCAAAACGATTATAGAGTGATTTATGCTAACTGTTTCAACCAGAAATTTTCATACTAGAATAACTTAAGCAACAAAAACTTGTACAGACCATTTCATACGAAATCAACTACCTAAACCAGAGGCGAAGCGGAGCTTCGCACCACTTGCGATATCACGCAAGCACAGCATTGCAAGCTAGCGAATAAAAAACAGGAGTGAAATAACAAAATCAAAAAATAGTCAAGAAATACAACAAACAGTATTAAATAAGTTTTTAATTTTCTAACGAGCGTCCACTAAGCCACAAGGCGTTCATTAGACCGAGAACAACCGTTTAGTCCGCTAGTTGAGACGAAAACAAAAACCATAAAAAACTGTTGACATGAAAAATGTTTGAGCAATTAAGCTTTAAAACTTTGAAGTTTACAGACGAACTACTAGTTCCTAAAATGAATTTACTAATCACTTGCGTTACACGTTCGAAATTAGACTAAAACTCAAATAGAAATTTCAACTAGTTTTTCTTGACAGAGGAACAATTTTTCGAAAACTTTGTTTTAAGTCGTTCGAATAACGACTGGAAAGGCTTTAATTTTGATCTTGTCGATTATGCCTAATTTTGAGACTAATGATGTCGATTATGCCTAATTCAATAAAAATCTACGCGTTTGTATCAAGCAAAAATATGACCGATAACGCTGTCTGGAAAAACTGAATGAGTAACACTTTGAGTCTACGTAATTTCTTAAGCGACGCTCTCCAATTATGAGTCTGCATAATTGCTAAGTGATGCAAGCCAATTATGACGCATCAGCAGTACCAGTCAATTTGAAAAAAAAAGAAATTTACTAACTAACATTTCTCAATTTATAGAGCGGACGCATTTTAATTAGTTTACGAAAAAGTTCGTTACATCCGACCCTGCCCAGGTTCGAACCCTCTTATTTTGTTACGGGTCTCCTTCCCTGCCTCTACGCTACAGATCCATGATACCTTGAAGCTTAAGTGCTATTTGTAATATATGCAGTAATATCTTTAGCATTGGCTGTACTTAATAGCTGGTTATTGATCAAAATGAAGACTTTCAAAATGAACACTAATATTTGCGACTTAGGTTGGAAAAGAGAGTTCACACTATCACACAAGCTTTGCTTGTGTAACTACCTTTGAGGGGGAGTGCGTGCCAAAAAAACGCAATTTGTTGGTCAAAATTTTCCAAAAAGTGCCTAAAAACGCCTTTTTGGCCTTTTTTTTTCTTTAGCCATGGAAGTTTTAAAATCCTAACCAAAAGCTATCCTTCTTTTCTTTTAGCTTTTATTTGCTATTGACGGATAACTTAATGTAATTGCATGTATCCGATGTAACGAGTGAAAAAACTTTATTATTCTTCAAAACGACTAGCTGTTGGTGCTGACGAAATAAATGAGAGAGGGAGAGAGAGGAGGGAGGGAGGGAGAGAGAGAGATAATGTTTAATTGAAACTTCTCAAATGAGATAAATGATTTTAAAAGTGAAACTATAAATGATCACTGTCTATGTTTATGGAGGATTTTCACCAATCGCGTTCCAGTTTGTAGATCATTGAGATACGAGCAAAAAAGAGGACGCAAAACGATGTGATTTTGTTAAACAACTTGTTTACATTGAAAAAAGTCTATGTTTCGATTTGATAACTCTTGCTAACCGCAAACCTAAAGACCACTTACGTAAGCTAGTTGTACCAGCTCGGTCGGATCGCGTTCATCTTTGTGAGGCATGTTGGCTTTTGAGTAGACCCAGCTGAAGAAAATGTATTCCAGTTGGGACTCTTTGCGCGCTTTTTCAGCCAACCGTTCTCGCTCACGTTCCTCGCGCTCTTCACGCTTCTTTCTTGCCTCCATTTTAATCGCTGCAAGCCTGATTAAAACATTATAATGGTCATACATCATAAAAATAGAAACAATTTCCACCAACCAAGAATGACTTCGTGCAAAAACGGTGATCTAAGCTATAATTTGAAATAACACTAACTTAAAGAAAACACATAAGTCAAAACTAATGCTAGTTATTACCTCAAATCGCTAAAATTACAAAACATTTGTCTGCTGTATCTTATTAAACAAAATAAGTAATTTTCTTCTTTAAAAAATGCGATTGAGATCCCTCTTAGAAGTTACCTGTTTTCTTCGGATGAGAAAACTTTTTGGCGCAGTTGGTGACTGATCGCTCTGAGACCACGCGCATACGGCGAATTTTCCGACTGATTGTTGAACCGCGGATTGTTGCGCATCAAATACCTCGCAAGAAAATTCAAGGGGTTAAAATTTGGGTCATACGAGGGATAGTCTTCTTTTCTTACACTGTCTCCCCGCAAACTTCCAATGATCGCCTCGACCTTTAACAAAATATTGTTTAATTTGTGTAAACAAATAAAACATACTTCTCCCACTCATATCTTACCTTATTCAGCTCCATTCTTTTCTCCACGTCCATTTCCAGCGTAGCTGCTTTTTTCTCTGCAATATATGGCAAGCCTCTTCTGTCCGCTTCCATGAGTAGTTTTTCCAACCCCAGCACAAGTTGTGGCAGTACTTTATCTGTGATGTATGATCGCAACTCGACTGTGTCAATTGTAGTTATGAACCAATCAGTTGTCAATATATCCAGAGGTACCTAAGCAAAAATTTCAGCTCCAATCAAATCACGGACCAAACATTAGACGTTGGATTCATTTTATTTCAAGACATAAAATGTTAGAATACTTACTTTCCTCATTGCTTTTTTAGCTTCACTTTGAAGATCCGCGATATGGACTTTTTTCTCTTCTCGAGAATCGGCTAGCTCGGAAACAACCGACTGCTCTTGAAATCTTCTTAATTTTTTCACCGTATTCGATTCATTTGAGGTGTAATAAACAGGCATTGTCCGGGATCTCGGTCTCTCGGGTAAACTCGAATCGCCATTACTACCCGAATCAGGTCGCCCATGACTGGACTCAAGTTTGTCTGCAGCTGTCATTGTCAAACTTAAAGACAATTCAGCAAATATAACATTGTTTTTTTTACATTATATAAAAAAAAACTTTATTTGCCAAACGAAACTGATTTCACATACGCAATTATATGTCAATTTTCAGAGAAATTTAGTAAGCATATAATAATTAAGGTATACGTCACCAAAAGAGAATTTTAAGCAGATACAATAACATGAGTATCGCCAAAAGATGATATTTCACTTAAAAATCGGACAAGGAATCAAACTATCATAATAAATGCAGGCTTTTACAGCCCTGGTTGCTTCACAGTTATTGCTGTTTCTTTTTTTTAAATTCTTTTTGAAGAAAAATCTTTCAAGTTATTTCGACAGTATAACAATTACAATTCCATATTATTTACAGAACAGCAACTAAGACGGTAAAATTTGGATAGCTCATGTGTTTTGTTGCGGAGATTTTTTCAAATTGATGATGGCGGTGTATTGTATTGTCTATGGGGTTACGCAGACGGGTCGCCTTCAATCGATAATTCCATTCGTCCTGACGTCATGTCCCCCTCTCTACAGCTTTGCCGGCGCGTTCGACCGCATCAACAGGCAGCTGAGCCGAGTGTATATGGCGTTCTTTATCTCCGGCGTTCTGGTGGCTGTTTGCATGGCCACGCGAGATGCCAGGCGGTCTAGAAATGGAATGCCTTCACTTACCCATTCACCGTAACAAGTGCCTACCATAGGAATGCACTCCCAGCCAAGTTCCCGGCACTTCACGTCGTTATTCCTGGGCTTTCTTGATGCCGCGGACGCTGCCGCTGATTTCCTAATTTTGATCGCTCCGTCAATGATAGTACCGTTGAGCGGATTCACAACTGTGATGTCGAGGGCTGCGTCCTTTCCCAGATTCCAAGTTGGCACTTTTTAAAAAAAAATCAAAAGTATCATAGTTACCGAGGTTAGTCAGGAATCCTTCCTCGCAAATTCCAGTCAAAAACCTAGAAAATTTCTAGATATGGAAGAATAAAGTACGGGTATATCAGATACTTAACTAGGCTGCGCGTTCGTCTCTTTGACTCTGCAAATAAAAACATTCTTCGGATGTAGTTTTATCATTAATAGTGCCGAGTACAGAGACAGCGTTTGCAACCTGTATTGCGAGGGAGATTCTCTTCTGAAAAAAAACTACCTGCGCTGGGTTCCTAGGTACACGTGCTCAAAATCTTAAAGAGCTTATTTGGAAAAATCTCAGTCCTAGGCCCGCCTCACCGTGAATTTCAAAAGCTAGTGGTTGGAAAATATATCCATCATTAATTGAATCTCTATATTTGTCAGATTTTTGATCTTCCGCCTCGGCCGTTCCGGTGTTACAGTCCGAGCCTGCGCTTATTCTACTATGGGCTAGGGAGTCAACTACCGTTACATCCCACAGGAGCTGCCTACCAACAGACCATGGGACGAGCGTCAAACAGTCTGGTCGCTTCTGATCAAAACTGTGGATGTGTCGTGGCTCTTAAACAGAAGAAATATGAATGGAGGCAACATTTTGCTTAATGAAATCATTCAAAATGGAATGCCTAGAAAATTTCGCTGCACTTTTCAGACAAGATAGGCCAGGCCAGTCATCTTAGGTTACATCTTTTCCGCAGGCGCATCTATTTCTTTTTACTAATTTTTGATCCTAGGTGGAGTTCAGTCGCGATGCTAAGCTGCTGATTTGACAAACATATACTTGGAATTTTACACACTAGGACATTTAACCACTGCGATCCGAACCTATCCTGGTGAGCCTTGAACTTTTTGGTGTTTTAATTGTAATATCAAAAATCTTGTTAATTTTTCGATCAGCAAAACGGCTGGATCAACTAGATGATTGGTGACGTGTAACAGTCGTCTAACAAAGTCACATAAAAAGTTGAGATAAAAAAATGAACAGACGCCAGTCTGAGCTTCGCACCACTTGCAATACGAAACAGGAAAGCCGCTTGAAACAAGATAAATGCAAAAAAGTTATGTCTATTATTTTGAACCGAGCTAGTTTTGACACAAACAAAACAAGATACTAGAATGGTAGATTCGCATCAAAAGAAAATTTACCAAGCGGTAATAAAGCTAAAAACACCCTATGAAAACGCTAAAACCTATTGAACCAAGATCATAAAAAAAATCGAAAAAACCAAAAAAATGGAGAAAATTATAGACAAAGAAAAGTTGTTAAGTCCACCTCACACTCAAAATACCCACACACACAAGAAAAAACGTTTTAACTCCTCGAACGACGGAATTTCATGAAGCTCAGCCGATATACACAAGATATTATTTGAACTTACTTAAGCAGCGCTGATTTTACATAGATATTTGGAACTCAAGTGACTTCGTAACTTTTATTGGTTGGGAGTGGCTAAGTCACCCCAAAACGTTGTGTACTTAGTTCTAGTAAGAGCGTCTCATAGATGTCATTACGACCTTCAGTTGTTGGAAGAGGCCGAAGTGAGGATTGACCGAAAAACCAATCAGATAATTTCCTCTGCAGAAATCATCTGGTTTAATAAGGCTCTGTAAAGTATGCCCTAATCTCTGAAAGAAAGTCCTCAAAAAAAGCCCAAGCCAGGACCCTGCCGACGAGAAACTAGAAATCATTGAGGAGCGACTGACAGAGAACCAAAAATCAACCAGAGTTACACTGCAAAGTTAGAGGAAAAATCAGAGGCTCAACTTAAAAAAAATTGAAACAAGCTTTGAGGAAAAAAATCAATGCAATGATACTAGCAAGTGCAAATTCCAGTTGCAATTAACAATGCAATTAGAAAGGTACGGCGAAGCCAATCAGGTAAGAGCAAGGAGAAGATAATGAAGAAAACGCTTGCGCAATAAGACAGTGAACGAGAAGACTTGAGGAGGCGCGAAAACAATCCTGGACTTTTTGATGTACCCAAAAGGAAACAACAAAATTCAGGAGAACGGGGAAACTGATGACCTTAGACCCAGGCCTTAGGCTGTCAGTAACCTTCTCCCAGAGATGAGATGGAGAAAGTCATCCGTCTATGAAAATCAACAATGAGAAATCGAAAACAAGGCCAATGAAACTCGTAATCAAGAACCGTTAGGAGCGGGCCAACATTTTCCGATCCCTGATAATTCTAAAGAAGTGCCGCATTGAAGAACACAGCAAGTTTAGTGTTTCTCACGATTACTCGAAAGAAGGACGGGAATTAATTCGATATTTGATTACAATAGAAGGACGGAGAGAAATCCACAAAGCAACGATACAGTTTTGTAGACAGTACATCATAGCTTAAGACACGACGCCGGAAAAAAGAGTCTTCACTAATGGCAAACTGCTGACTAGAGGCGGCGTACGCAGGCTTGCTCTATAATGTTCACAACCAGTTCTTAAGAGAAACCGACTATGCTACGGCATAATAATAATGACCGAAACTTTGCTGACACCTGATTTTAAAAGCAGCGAACTGTTCCTCCCAGACTACAACACGCGCAGAACTGATCGCCCACCCAGAAGTTAAATTTCAACATACGGTGGAGTTTTAGTTGCGGCTAAAACGACATAAAAAAAACAGAAGTATCTCTCTCATGTATTATTACTTTACAATCCACCAAAGGAAAGTAAAAATCAATTCTTGCTGGAACATGCTGACAATTTTTGGGTTTTCCAAACATATATCTCTTGGGGACTTTATTCTCACTGAAGACTTCAACATGGACGAAACAAACTGGTACACCTAACAATCGTCAAATGACTTTCTGAGCTACCTTATCAATTTAGTCATTGAAAGTAGTAGTAGTAGTAGTAGTAGGGTAAGCTTAAGGATTTCTCCATGGGTCTTGAACCCTCGTTTATAAGTTCATAATTTTTCCCGGTGGGTTGCAGTTTCCACACCAGCAAAGAATTCTCCACATACACAAGTTGTTTTCTGCAAAATTTCTGTTGAAGAATTTCCAAAACGTGTTTGTTATAGATATTTTCAGGCTGTCAAAATCTTGATTTTCGAAGTCCACAATTTGGCTAAAGTAGTTGTATAGCGTATTAGAACGTATATAATAATTTTCATTTGACTTTTTCAGTCTTGTTGCATGAACAGCAATCTCACCACGTGTTGCTTGTCTCGTTCGTGATTCGTTTTTATGAATAATTGTATTCAAATCAATGTCATGTTTATTTTTTAGTAGTGAAACTAAGTACAATATGTCGTTTAATTCAAAGTACATTGAGAGTGGAAGGAGCTGTAAAAATTTCAGTCTTTCAGTATAACTCATTTTGAAGTTATTTGTAATCCAAGAAGTCGCTCGTTTTTGTACTCTTTCTAGTTGTCTTAATTCTGCTTTGTTCGGATACCATGTTTGCGATGCATAGCTTATGATTGGTACGATTCATCCGCAGTATAAGTTTAATTTTGACTTAAATGATGTTTTTTTCGAGATATTTCGGTTGATTTTGTAAAAAGCTCCCATTGCTTTTGATATGCGATTTTCAGCATTTACTGACCACGAAAGGTTGTCATACATTAAAATACCTAAGTCTTTTTGGGTCTTTGCGGTATCAACATTTGTATTAAATAGTGTAACTTCCATTTTCCCTTTGAGGTTTAACAGATTACATTTATCTTCAATCAGCGGCATTTTATTTTCTTTGCACCATTTTTCAACATTTGCCGTGTCTTTTTGCAGATGAATTTCTTCAGTAGACAAGATCTTCATATCGTCACAATAGCCAAAACAATTCGAATTCTCAATGCATTTGGTAAAGTCGTTAATGAATATGATAAAAAGTAGAGGGCCAAGAATTGAGCCCTGTGGTACACCGCTAGTTACTTCTTTCAGAGTTGATGAACTTTTATTGATTTTCACAAATTACTTTCTATCTGTTAGATAGTCTTGTATTATGTCTTGTATTTGATTGCCTAAACCTATGTTCCGTAGTTTAGCGATTAGGATACTATGAGGAACTTTATCAAAGGCTTTAGAAAAATCTAGACAGAGGACTGATAGTGTTTGAACATTTTTGTCATCGTAGAGTT